AAAATAACCACACACACACACACACACACCTTGACCCACACTGCCCGAGTTTGAATCCAAACTTGACTGCTTGCTTCTTGTGTGAGCTTGGAGAAATATCCTACCCTCTTTGTCTCCACTTCTTAACCCAAAACTGGGAATAACATAAGGGTTCCCTGAGCGAGCTGCTTAGTGTTTCCGTGCCTTTGTTTTCTCAGTTATAAGGCAGAGATGATAATAACACCTTCGTAGGGCAGTTGCCAGGACAAAGTGCACAAGGCGATTAGGACGGTGCCGGCAAGGAGAAGGCACTGGACGCGGTGCAGTTTAGAAATTACAACCATCCTTGCAGATGCGGTGCCGGGCGGTGCAGACCGGCTGGGAAAGGGCAGCCCTGGTCAAGCGCCGGCTTCCTGCGCCCCACCTCACGGCAGCGTCTGCACCGCCCCTCCCGGGGAAGGCAGAGGCAGATTCGGAAGCAGAAATCCAGCCTGCAGATCCAGACTGCCAACCCTGGCTTAGCCCCCAGTCCCCTCGGCGTCTCCCTCTGGGGACTGAATCCCTCGCACATTCTTGACACAGCCCCAGCACGCCCACCCAGTGCCAGGCTGGCATGGGGCGGCAGGAAGATGCGCCTGTCATCCAGACGTGGGTTGTGCCTGCCAGGCCCCTCCACGCGGCAGCAGGAGTCGTGTGCGCCCCAACTATGGGCGGGTCAGCCATCATCCTCCCCGTCTGCCCCTCAGTAAATCAAGAGCTGGTGTTTCCATGTGCTGTTTGTCTCTCCCCTTTGCTATCGTGGAGGCCTAAACACTGCGGAGCTTATCTATACAATGGATTTCCTGCTGGCGTTGGATCTGCCCCGCTCCCCACGGGGTAATAATTTACGTCGCCTGAACACACAGATATGCTGACGTCCGAGATGCTGGTGGCCTTGGCAGACCCCGGCTCCCCCAGCCTGGGTGGGAATCTGCAGGCGTTAACCCCGGCTGACGTGAGCCGAACATCCCAGTTACGGATGGAGAGCCAGACTGGGTGGGCAGGGAGAGGGGGGAAGTTCGTTCATCCGTCAGCTATCCATGAAGGCCTTCCATGTGCCAGGCCTGGTCCCGGGCTCTGAGCAGGCAGTGGTACGGAGGACACCAGGCATGTTTGAGGAGCGCTCAGTCTGGCTGTGGGTCAGACACAGCTACGTGTGGCACGCACAGCTTAGTTCTGGGGTAGCAGCGAGGACAGGGCCCGTGGGAGGACGGGGGAGGTGCGTGCAATCTAATTTGGGGGCTTCAGGAAGGCTCGAGGGCTGAGTTTTAACGAACAGCTTTTCTTCCTTGGCACCGAGGCTTCAGCAGCCATTGCCCGGTGGGTCTGGGGAGAGTGGGGTGCTCCTCTGGGTTGAGGTATCACAACTCTTGGCCTCAGTGGTCTGTGTAGACCCTGCCCAATGTCCAGAGCATCACCCGTGGGCATGCCCGGCAAGTCCCCTTCTCACCTGCTCCCCTGCCCAGGCGTGTGGCTGCCATGGCATTGGGCCTCCTGTCAGAACGCCCAGTTCCCATGTTAATCATAACAAGCGTGTTCCGAGAGGAGCCTGCCCGGCCCCTGCCCACAAGCCCTCTCTCCAGCCTTGATAACATCTGCACCGAATTTTCTCCCTTTATATAATTAGGACCATTGGTATTTGCTTTGACTTTAGATTATGGTATGACTGGCATCTCTGAAATTTCAGGCCCGAAATCTGTGCTGGGGCCCAGGATGGTGGGAAAACTGAGCTTTCACTGATGGGATTTTAGGTTTAGCCAGGAGGGTTAGAAACAGCACAGCGGCTACTGTCCGGCAGGTGGGAAAGGGATCTTCCGCCTGGCCGGGGAGCAGTGCTGGGTTAGGCCCGGTGGGGAGAAGGATGCAGAGGGTTCCTCTCCCTCCCTCCTGCCTCTTTTCACCCCACATCCTCCCACCCCTTCTCCAGCCCTTGCCCTGGAGAGACAGAACCCAGCAAAGATGGGAAAGATGCAGTAACTGCAAAGAAATGCAGTGAATCTAGACTTAACCCCAAAGCAAACCTCACAAGTGTCAGGGTTTGGAGTTGTGCTTTGAAATGACCCGTCATTGTCTGGCTATGTCCGCCAAGGAGCTGTCTGGGGAGTGAGATAAGGAGGGGGGCTGGGATGGGGGGGTTGGTTCTCTCCCAAGGCTCCATCCAGAGAGGAAGCAAGTGGGCTTGCACACCCACTCGCTCCCTGACGTCTCTGAGCTGGATCTCAGCGGTGACTTCATTTCCCCTAATTAGGTATCCACAAACTCCCTGGAAGGTTCCAGCCATCAAGCCACACTGATTATGATGTGGGAGCTTCTGATATGCTTGTTTGCACTTTCCCTTTGGGACCCGGGAGGCCCAGCTGAGTGATAACTGGATGATGGAATATTTGCTAGGGGAAGGGGAATGTATTTTTTTAAGATAAGATTTGCTCTCAAGCAGAAGGGAGGTTTCCAGATGCTTCTGCATTGTCAAGGAGTAAGGAGTGGGGGCAGGTCTCCTTGCCTGTTGCCTTGCTGGGGGTAGTCTCAGCTATTTAGAGCCCCCCCCCATACCCCGTGAACTAAGTATTACCATTTTCCTCTGGTTTTAGACAGTATTGGTGCTCCTCATGAGATTTTGTTTGAATGGAAGGGCTGTTGCCCAGTGAAATTAGCTAGGTCATTGTGTATTTTCCCTGGAGAAGGACTCTTGCCTTATTAGACATGCAACGTCCATTGAGGACCTGATGCAGAACTTGTATGGAATCCTGTTTTGTCACTTCTGCCCATGTGGGCCTAGTGCCAACAGGACCAAGACCATACTCCTCTTGGCATTTAAGATCTTCAGCATCTGGCTTCAGACTAACTCTCACCTCTTTCTGTCCTTCCCTTCTCTTCTCCCACAGTATCCTCCTCTCCATCCACCTTGAATTTCTTTCTCTTTCTCTTTGAATGGGCTGTCCCTCTGTGAAGTCTTTTCCAGCCTACCAGGCAGGATTAGTTTTTCCCCTTCTGGGCTCTAAATAGAACCAACCATACGAGGTTCTAGTTATTTATTTCACAAGTCTGAATTTACCTCTAACCTGAGAGTTCCTAGAAGACAGGGACTGGATCTTAGCAATAAGAATCACATTTATACTGGTGTGTGCCAAGCTCTGTACCATATGATTTTTTTAATAGAATTTTTTATTAAGGCATAATTCACATACTATAGCATTTACCCTTTTAAAGTATATAATTCAGTGGTTTTAGCATTTTTACAAAATTTTGGAATCATCACCACTAATTGCATAACATTCCAAAAAGAAACCCTGTACCCATGAGTGACTACTCCCATTCATCCCTCCCCCAATCCCTGGTACCCACTAATCTACTTTCTATCTCATGGATTTTCCTATCCTGGACATTTCGTCTAAATGGAATCATACAGTATTACATTTGTGTCCTTTTGTGTCTGATTTCTTTCACTTAGCACAATGCTTTCAAGGTTCATCCATATATTAGAACTGCCTTTCTTTTTAGAGCTGAATGATATCCCATTGTATGGATATACCACATTTTGTTTATTCATCAGGTAATTGCCAATTGGCTTATTTATAATTTCAGGCTGTTCTGAATAATACTGCCATCAACATTCATGTTTAGGGTTTTATGTGAATGTATGTTTTCATTTCTCTTAGGCATATATACCTGGAAGTAGCATTGATGGCTCATATGGTACTTCTGTGTTTAACTTTTGGAGAAATGGCCAAACTGTTCTAAGGCATCTGCACCATTTTACATTCCCATCAGCAATATATGAAGGTTGCAGTTTCTCCATATCTTCACCCACAACTTGCTATTCTCTGTCTATTTTATTATAGCCACGCTAGTGGGTGTGAAGTGCTATCTATCTCACTGTGGCTTTGATTTGCATTTCCCTCCTGGCTAAAGGTGCTGAGAATCTTTTCATGTACTGACCATTTGTATATCTTCTTTGAAGAAATGTCTAATCAAATACTTTGCCACTTCTTTAATAGGGCTATTTGTATTTTTATTGTTTAGTTGTAAAAATTCTTTACATATTTTGGATTCAAGTCTCTTGTCAGATACACAATTTGCAAATATTTTCTCCCATCTGTGGTGCTATCTTTTCCCTTTCTTTCTTTCTTTTTTTTTTTTGAGACAGAGTCTCACTCTGTTGCCCAGGCTAGAGTGCTATGCTGTCAGCCTAGCTCACAGTAACCTCAAACTCCTGGGCTCAAGCGATCCTCCTGCCTCAGCCTCCTGAGTAGCTGAGACTACAGGCATGTGCCACCATGCCTGGCTAATTTTTTCTATATATTTTTAGTTGTCTAGATAATTTCTTTCTATTTTTAGTAGAGACAGGGTCTCACTCTTGCTCAGACTGGTCTTGAACTCCTGACCTTGAGCAATCCTATCACCTCAGCCTCCCAGAGTGCTAGGATTACAGGCGTGAGCCACCTTGCCCGGCCTCACTTTCTTAATAGTAGCTTTTGAAGCACCAAAGTTTTAATTTTGATGAAGTCTACTCAATTTTTCCTTTTTTTCCTTTATCAATTTTTCCTTTTGTTGCTTGTGCTCTCTGGTGTTATATCTAAGAAACTATTGCCTAATCCAAGATCAAAAAAGGTGTACCACATGCTTTTTAAGTGTACCCTTATTTATAAGAACCCTATGAGGAAAGGGTAGTAGACCCATTTCACAGATGAGGCAATGCTGCATCGAATGCCAGAGCTGCAACTTAACCCCAGTTCCATTTGCCTCTGAACCTCATGTGCCTCCTCCCCAAGTTCCTTTACTTCTTCATCCCTCACAGGGCTTGCTTGGTACAGTGGCTAGTGCCTGGTAGGCCCACTGGTGCTGTACCTGGACAGGCGCACTGGTTGCACATACTGGCTGATTTGGGTGGATTGGGGTTTGCACCCCATCACACTGCTGACGAGGGGTTCGTGTCTGTGATGCTCAAGGTCACTGAAGGTCTCTTTCCTCTCTCACCTCCACAGTGTCTCATCGTCGGGGGAGGACCATGCGGCTTGCGCACTGCCATTGAACTTGCCTACCTGGGAGCCAAGGTGGTTGTGGTGGAGAAGAGGGACACCTTCTCCCGGAACAACGTGCTACACCTCTGGCCTTTCACCATCCATGATCTGCGGGGCCTGGGAGCCAAGAAGTTCTATGGGAAGTTCTGCGCTGGCTCCATTGACCATATCAGTGAGTAGAGCCAGTGGTGGGACCCCATGAGGGGAGGGGCAGACCCTGGGTGGAACACATCTCTGTACACCTAGGAGTCCCCAGCTTGTTCCATCTTGCAAGTCCCTGGGGGCTCCAAATATCCAACTAACAGACACTCAGTGAAATGCCTTATCCAGCCCTGTGCTCTGCCCCTCTAGGCTGTAAGCACCATGAGGTCAGGGACTGTGGCATGTCTTAACCACCAGGCTATCTTCTTCAGGGCATAAAAGAGTGCATGACACATAGCAGGTGCTTGCTAAACATCTGTGGAATGAATGAATGAAATACAGAAAACAGAGGCAGAAGTAAATAGCAGGGTCTGCTCCCTCGGGGAGCTCACCAAAATTGTGTCAGTAATAAAACGTGCTTTACTTAGAATTAGTCACACTTGCTAAAGGAGTTCAGAGGAGGGAGCCACACAAAGCCATGAAATGAGCCAGATAGTTGAGACCCTCTGTGTAAAGGAGTTTGGATATCAGGCTGTGGTGCTGGGGGGCATGGCAAGTTTTAGAACAGAGGAATGATACATTTCAATCTATGTTTCCTAACAGATCCCATACCAAAGTTTTTAAAACTTGGGCTTTAAAAAGAAAGAGAACATTATGATGAAACTTTAGCTAGACTAGGAAGGAAAATAGAGCACATGATTTCACGTCCTACCTAGGCCATCTCTGAATGCTTATGTGGGGCGAGATGCATGCAGAGGCCCTTCTGCTCTGTCACCACTTAAGCCTGGGTCTCTGGGGGCAAGATCTGTGCAGACAGGCTTTGGGAAGGTCAGCTTTGCAGGAAGGAGTTCTTAGCCATTTTATGTACAGTTGAGTCTTTAAACAACACAAGTTTGAACTGCATGAGTCCATTTATACACAAATTTTTTTTTCAACCAAATGCAGGTCAAAAATACAGTATTTCTAGAAAGCAAAACCCGCATGTTAGGAGGGCTGATTTTTCCTATGCTCACGTTCTGCAGGGCTGACTGTGGAATGATTATGCATGACTATGTAGCTCAGTCGCCCATGTAAGTCAAAGAGGTTAACACTGCAGGGACACTTCAAGGGTTTGAACAGATCTGGGTCTAAAATCTGTCTCATCCATTTCTGTCCGACTTTAGAGTCAAGTTCTTTACCCCCTTTAAGCCTCAATTTTATCTCCTGTAAAATGTAATTAATTTCTGTCTCCCAAAATTGCTGAGAAGATTAAATGAGGGTGAGTTTGCAATGTGCTTAGCACTACGCCTGGCCCATAGTAGGTGCTCAGGAAAGCGCTTTATGTGCAGTGAATAAGCGGCAGCCACGGTCCCCAAACTCCAGGATGCGGGGCTGCTTCTCTCAAACCATGTTTCGCCGTGGGGGTGGGTGGGAGGAGAGCCCTGGGAGCCGTGTTCTTACGAGGACAAGACTCGATGGGAAAAGGGACTGGGGTTTGGGCGGGAATGACTGGAGAGAATTATCAGCCACATAGGGTGTAATTTATTCAGACACAGGAGAATTTACCAGCAGTGGCTCCAGAGTTTATTCCCACTTTGGGATGAGAAAATTCTAGGAGTCCAACGGAAAGAAATTTGGATTTGCCCAGAAAGCTACCACGTCAGCTTTCAGGAGGTTGTCCACCACCCACGGAGGAATGTGTGCTGGTCACCAATTTAGAATGACGACACTGAGCGCCACGTTCTCATCAAGTCTTCTTCTTGAGGGCCAGAGCTTGGCGCCAGCTGGCCTCGAGAGGGCCCTGGGTGGTGGGGCTGGCTTCCTGGCCCAGAGCCCCCCCCTCCTCGGCGGGGCTCTCATTTAACCAACCCAGTCCTTGGAAAGACTGCAGCCTGCAGAAGGGCTGGAAGGAATCTGGAAATGAGACTGAGATGGTCAGAATGATCATTGTCAGGGGTAGCTCCAGTACTGGTAAGAAGGAAGGCAAGAAGAATTTATTGAGCACCTACTGTGTGCTGGAAGTGGACTAAGAACTTGAAATTCTAAGGAGAGGCCAGGCCTCCCCTGGAAGGAAGGAAGTTCATGGCGGGGCATGGATTGGGCCCTTTAAAGCCCAGCTGGTTGCTTCCTTTCAGCCCAGCGTGTCTCCAGCCCTGGCTCATGCTCAGCATTGCTCAGCAGTTCGAAAATGTCCCGTGTTAGCGTCCTCCTCCAGGTCCCACTGCTCCGTTCCAAACCCCAGCACGGCCTCCTGGTTCTGAGCAGATGGCCTCCCTCCTGAGCTATGGGGAAGAGAAAAGCCATTGGCGGTGCTCCCAGGCCACCCCCGCTTCCCTCCTCTGCCACCAGAGTACCATTCCTTCCTCTCACCGTGTCAGAGCAGAGCTGGCCACTCCCTCCCAACTCCAGTTTCTCCGGCTTCCTTCCCTGCTTTCCACCTGCCCCGTCACTGAGTCTTCCTGCTCCTCACCTCAAGCTGGCCCTCCAACCCTCCACTGTTGCACCGTTACCTTTCCTTGCCTCAAAGTATTTCTTCTAGAAAGAGGAAATGTAGACTTGGTCTGCGCCTTCCATTCACACCTCCTTCCACTGCAGTCTGATCTCTCCCGACCACCATGCTAAAGAGATTTTCACAAAGATCTCCAGAAGTTTCCTAACTCCCAAGTGCCCTGCCTCTTGCCACCTTCATAGTCCTTAATGTCTCCATGGGATTTGATATTCTTGGTCCCTCCTCTCTTGGCTTTCAGGACCCCAGCACAGGCCCTGTTCTGGCTCTACCACCCCCCACTGTATCCTACCCATCCTGTTCACCTGTGTTCCCTCTGTTAGAGGGTGTGCTCCATGTCTCCGGTGCCTAGCGTGGCACCTGGCACGTGTAGATGCTCAATAATGTGAGATGAGCTACGCCCACTGAATACGCAGGGGCCCACGGGAAGTTAACAACTTCTCACTCTGCAGAAAAGTACTTGGAGGTGTATGCATTTGTACTGAATGGCTGGAGGCAAGGTAGGAAAATGAGGTTCCACTCACTGGGGGAGTTTCAAAGAGTGAATAGGAGATGGAGAGCCATGACCCAGCTCTGTGGGGAGAATTTCCCACCCCACCCTCACCCCTGGCTGGCTGAGAGCTGAGGGACAGGCCCCATATGATGAGCCACTGATCGCTGACTTGACTTACAGCCCTTTCTCTCTGTTTGTCTACTCCTCCTTCCATCTTTATCTCATCAAATCCAGAGCCCAGCTCAGGAAGGAGTCGGAGACAGAGCCTTCCTTGTTATAGCATCGTCTAAGGGCTAGAGCCGGGTCTTGGAACCGGACAGACCTGGGTCCACTTTCTCTTTTTGCTACTGTGTGGCCTTGAATAAGTCCCTTAACCTTGTCAAGCCTCAATTTCTCATCTCTAAAACGAAAATAATAATGATCCTGAAGGGCCACTGTCAGGGTTAAATGAGAAAGCGCAAAGTGTGGGCGTATGATTAGCACTCAAGACCATCGCTGTGGGCAGGTTGCCGTGTTCACAGGCCACTGAGCAGCGTGGTTACGTGGCACTCTGCACGCAGAAGGACTCGGCCTTGTCACCCACACTTCATCTCTCTTCCCTTCCTTCCTACCAGGTATTCGCCAACTGCAGCTCATCCTGTTCAAGGTGGCCCTGATGCTGGGTGTTGAAATCCACGTGAATGTGGAGTTTGTGAAGGTTCTAGAGCCTCCTGAAGATCAAGAAAATCAAAGTACAGTATCATTTCCCCTTTCTGTCTGGAAATCAGATATTGCAAAATGGAAATCACATTCGCAGCTCTCAGAGGATGTTTCTCTGAGAGTTATTTTTACCAGGAGCCAATTGGCATAATTCCACCGACGGGTGTTTTACCCTTTTCCCCATTGCTGTCACTTTACGTTTGCTCTTCAGCTCCCAGGGGATTTATTATTCAGCTATTAAACCTACAGCTTGGTTACCCTGTACTTAGGGGATGCTACTTTGGCAAGTGAAATCTGATCGATAAGTATTAAATAGAAGACATAGGTTTGGTTGTTTAATAAAATTCATTCGCATGTTCTTCAATCTGTGTTTGTGCATTCACACATAGATATGTGGGTGCACTTGTACCCATGGATATTTTTAAATCCAGTAAAAAGTGAAGATTCTAGAGCAACTATGACATAAGATTTAAGATATTATGAGTATATAATATTTTTTAACTTTATTGAAGTATAATTTATAAACTATAATACTCATAAAGGTATGTCTTAGTAATGTTTGTCTTTTTTCTTTTAGTATGTTTCTCTGAATTCTGATCTTTTGCACATAACACTGTCAGAGTTTGCTCATGATCTCTCTGCATCTTACCATCCAATCTGCTGCTGCCTGGGAAGGGCTTTGAGTTTGGGGCCAGCTTAGTGTCAAAGACCTCACAGTCTCCTGCTGAGGAGGGTGCACCTGTGATTTCTCCTGTCCTCTGCCCAGAATATTTGAGAATTTAGGGGAGACTTTAGCAGGACAGCCTTTGTTGTTTCCTATTCAGACACTGTGTGCTCTTAACCTTTCCAGACTTCTAGTGGATGGTAAATCTTAATATTGGGTAAACAGCCAGGCTTCACCTGAAAATGTGTTCATAAAAGACAGTGTACTGTGCAAGAGAACATTCGGAGCACTTTGAGCATAGAAACTCAAACTGATTTCATCGCACCCTGCACCTTGTCTCGGGTCTATTGCCATGGAAGGCACTGCGGAATGTGGGAGAATATGAAGAGACATGGGGCAATCTGTTCAGGAAAAGACGGAACAAGTGAGACTAGTCTGAGAACCATTGAGGGCAGACTCCCAGCACAGGCCGGTAAAACCAGGCATGTAGTTGGTGTTGCTGGTTTACTTTGTCCTGGTTGACTGATACTAAAGCCAGAAGAACGCCAGGCAGAGTGAGAATCTGGACTGCTCTCGGCCTTTCCTCCAGAGGCTCGGCCTGGGGCGCATGTACCTGGTTGCACTGGCCATTCCTTGTGGCCAGCAGCGAAGGGGTGTGACCACTCTCTCTCTCCACCTCTGCCGACTCACCTCATTTTTCTGTCCCGGTAGAAATTGGCTGGCGGGCAGAATTCCTCCCTGCAGAACATCCTCTGTCGGAGTTCGAGTTTGATGTCATCATTGGTGCTGATGGCCGCAGGAACACCCTGGAAGGTGAAGACTCTTCTTCTTGGGGCGGGCTGAGGGGACGGAGTGGGAGGGCTGTATCAAGGAGCAGGTGGAGACAGGCGGGCAGGACGGCAGATGCCAAAGCTGGATGGGGGTCTGGACGGAAGGGCAGCAGGCCGTCCTGTCCTGTCCTTCCTTAGTAGAGTGGCCTATCCTCCTGTGAGGCTCAGACTTTAGAGGACAGCCGTTTCACTCTGTCTGAACCTCGGTTTTCTCAATGGTAGATAGCAGAACCCCTCCCCCAGGGTGTTGTTATGAGGGCTGAGAAAAGGGGCTAGCATGTAAAAATGCTTTATAGAGATAAAGTGCCGTGGGAAAAACCAGCATCCATTTATTGAGCACCTGCTGACGCGCAGACCGTGGTGCTAAGCACTCCCACATACTTCTTCTGGAATAAATGTTTGGTACTATTAGTGGTACTAGTTTACTGCTGAGTATACTGCTACTACTTGTACTTGAACGAGTGGCCCATCTCTTTTCCTAACTTTTAAGCACACCGTTGCTGGGCAGTTAGGCAAGTCTTGCCGAATTGTCAAGGTGCAAAGGCCACGCTTCTCTGAGTTCCAAACCTGGAAGCATAACATGCTTTCTGGGGGTAAGATCCAGTTAGTTGAGGGAAAAACCCCATTGCTGGAAGTGCTGCAGTCGCCTCCAGCCTGGCCCCAAGAAGAACCAGGCCACAGGCCACACTAATTGATATGAATGGCACTAATTAGAGACCATGGGCTGTAAACAGCGTGACCCTAGTGGCTTCTCTTACACTAGGGGCAGTTCTGCCTTTTGAACTTGCTCCTCAAGGGCCACAGGCTGCACGTGCCTGACCGGGAGGACACATCCTCTGAGGACAGGACATGCTCCTTGAAACAGGCTCAGAAAACGTAGACAACTAAGAATGTGTCACCACCTGGCCCAGAGCCTTCCCATCTGCCATGAAACCAGGGCTGGTGGCCACTCCCCTTCTTGCTTCCCTTCCCTCCCCACCTCCCCACCATCCATAACCCACATCTGACAGGGAGTGTTTAAGCTGCCAGCCTGGATGTTGTGCTGTTAAAACTTATGGTCACTATGGTGGTTTGGTTAAAGTGTACATTGGAATATTTGAAAATCCAGGATCCATTGTCAGCTTGAGTATCAGTTCTGCATTTCACAAACGTGGAAAAAAGGGCGGGAAGAGTGGGGCTCTTACACCACTGGGGGCCCCGTGAGTAGACCACGGCAGGGTTTACCAGTATCGGCACCATCGACATTTGGGGCCACCTCGTTCTTTGTCTCGAGGGCCATCCTGTGCATTGTAGGGTGTCGAGCAGCACCCCTGGCCTCTACCCACTAGTGGCACCCCCAAGTGTGACAACCAGAACTGTCTCCACACATTGCCCAGTGGCCCTGGGCGTGAGATCAGCCCCAGTTGAGAAATATTAGACTAGAGAATCATTTCTCACCCTTTGATAAAAGGTCAAATGAAAGATGACGTAAAGGAAGGGTATTAAATAGAAACCCAAGGTTTTCAGTCAAAGAGATTTTGACAGGGTGACTGAGAATCGGCGTGAGGTTGGAGTATGGGTGGCACATGTGAGGGCTTCCCAAAGGTGTCTGAGGAAAGGTTACCTCTGGAGAGTCTGCACCCGTAAACCAGCACCTGGCGTTACGCAAAGTGCATGGCATGCCCGGGGCTGGGGGACCCAGGATGCAGGGTGGTCAGACGCCAGCAAAGGAGGACTAGGAGGGAGATCCTCTGTTGAGAAGTGACCATCTGCTGTGATCCATCTGCAATCTGCTGCCATTCAAAAGCAATTTCAATATACATCATTGGAAACAATAAGAATTCTGAAGAATTAGAGTGCTAAATTAATTGCAAGTTAGAATTCTGTCAATAGATGGGATACATTATGTATTTGTTGAGCATCTACTAAGTGCCAGTCACTGGGGATTGGTGTGTCCATTTCCTGGGGCTCCCTAACAAAGTACCACACACTAAGTGGCTTGACCAGCAGAAATGCATTGCCTTACAGCTCTGGAGGCTGGAAGGCCAGGATCAAGGTGTCTGAAGGGTTGGTTCCTTCTGAAGACTGTAAGGAAGGATCTATTCCATGCCCCTCTCCTAGCATCTGGTGGTTCACTGGCAACCTTTGGTGTTCCGTGGCTTCTAGAAGCATCTTCGTGATCTCTGCCTTCAACTTCACGTGGTGTTCTTCCTGTGCACGTTTGTCTCCAGATGTTCCCTTTTTTATAAGCACACCAGTCCTATTGGATGAGGGCCCATCCTACTCCTGTATGACCTCATCTTAACTAGTTCCATCTGCAGTGACCCTATTTCCAAATCGCAAAGCCACATTCTGAGGTATTGGAGGTTAGGACTTCAACATGAATTTCTCAGTAAACAAATAAGCCACACATCAGGTGGTGGCAGGAGGGTAGAGACATTCAACATGAATTTGGGGGTGCATCTCCGTAACAATTGGAGATACAAAGAAAATTTGTTAAAATCCCTGTCCTGCAGAAATTCAATTGAATAATAGTACTTTTCAAAGAGGAAAAAAAAACCATGAAAAATACTAACAAAGTAGTTTTCATCCTTTAAGTTCAAAGCATATATGGGTCTCTCATGAGAGTTATCTAGCGACAATGCCCAAAACTTCTTTGAAAGGGTGAGCCCTGAGGTGACCTGTTGGGCAGGATCACTTTAGCCTTTTGTTTGTTGGGGCCTAACCAGGACCTAGAGATCTTACAAAAGGACAAGGTTCCACTGACTGAAAGGCCGCTGGTGACTCGCTCCTCCTTGGGAAGGAACCTCAGCATGTCTGCCTGCTCCTGTTCTCTGGAGACCTAGAACTTTGTTTCCGCGGGCCTGGGCGGCATCTGAGAATAGCTTTCTCAGGACTTTTTCAGTCTTCACATCAAATCCAGGAGATAGACCCACCTCCTCCTTTCTCCTCGTGCAGGGTTCAGAAGAAAAGAATTCCGTGGGAAGCTGGCTATCGCAATCACCGCCAACTTCATAAACAGAAACAGCACGGCCGAGGCCAAGGTGGAGGAGATTAGCGGCGTGGCTTTCATCTTCAATCAGAAGTTTTTTCAGGACCTCAAAGAAGAAACAGGTGGGACCCTCATCTTTCTCCAGCCAGGGCATTGTCCGAGGTTTCTGAAGTGCAAGGTGGGGGGGGGGCGGGGGGGACAGTGCGTAGTGGCTTTCCAGGCTCTTGGAACTGGAGACGCTCTGATGGGGAGGAAGCAGAGCCTTCTCCTGAGGACAGGTGATTTATGGGCAGGATTGCTTCAAAGATAAGAGAGATCCTTGAGGGAAAGTTCTGGATGTTGTACATGAAAATAGACACTAGATTAAATAAATGAGAATTTATTTACGCTGTAGACATTTTCTAAGTGCCCACCACATGCCAATTCTCAATATTGTGGGGTATCAAGTGGAGGCTGGCTTGCTCCCTCCCAAAGCAGCTCCCTTTCCAGCGAGAGAGACCCGCATGAACCACCTTAAGGCAGGAGATTAGCACCATGTCCAAGGTCAGTGTGGTGCTCGGGGAGCACTCGGAGAGGGGAGCCAGCACCTGCAGGCGGGACCTGAAGAAGCTCTGGTGCTTTCCTGCATCACACCAGCTGCATTTCTTCATGAGGACGTCCAAGGCCACTCTGTAAACATGACACTTACTGCCATCAGTTGTCACCCAGCTGTGGGCCTAGAGGATAGAAGGTTTTGATTCATTCACTCCACCAATGTTTATTGAATGCCTACTCTATGGCAGGGCCTGTGATAGAGCAGTGGGCAAAACCGAAATCCCTCTGTCCTGGAGCTTATACTATTCCACAGGGGCAGACAGTCAGTAAACAAATAAGCCACACATCAGGTGGTGACAGGAGGGCAGAGAAAAACTCAACAGGGTGAGGGGAAGGAGAGGGATGAATTGCCTATTCCCTATAAAGTCGATTCCACAGTTTTTCCTTTCTTTTTAGCTGATTAAAAATATATCCTTCTTTTTGAAAAGGCAGTGTAACAACAGTGTTAAGTAAAGTCTTTACACACGATCTGACCACCTAGCACAGGAATGGGCTTCAGGGTCGTGAGCTCCTTTTCTGCGATTTGCCACCCGCGAGCTTGCTTTTCACGTGGCTCTAGCTCTAACCATGGTGTCCCTGCTCTTTGTTGTTCTGTTGTTCTCATTCCGCATCACGTTCTAAACATGGTGCTCCTGACGGTCAGTGTTAGGGGCTGCAGCATGTCTCACCACGTAGATGTATTGTCACCACCTAAGCATTTGACCCAGAGATGGGCAAACTGTGGCCACAGTTTTTGCATCGCCTTGGGGCTAAGAATGGTTTTATATTTTTAAAGGGCTAAAGAAAAAAATCAAAATAATAATATGTTGTGACACATGAAAATTATACAAAATACAAATTTCAATGTGCAAAATGAAGGTTGATTGTAACACAGCCTCGCCCATTTCTGCACATTGTCGCCTGTGGCCGATAGTGACTATCTGGCCCTTTACAGAAACGTTTGCTGACCTCTGATTCAGGCCTTCCGGTTATTTACTGTTACAGATAAAGCTGCTTCTGTTAAATTCTTTAAGATCATTTTCTAGAGCTGGGACTCGTTGGCGAGTGAGACTGTGTCTCTTGCTAGCCACAGCGATGTGTGCCCATCATGTGGCCCTCTGAGTTTCACCACAGTTGCATTATTTTTTTTTTAAGCTTTAATATTTCCTTCCAGCATATACTGTTCTTCTGAATGATTTAAGAATTCTCCAACCCTCCCCTCCCTTCCAAGAACATAAATACTTACACCACCAAATATAAATTATGACAGGACATTGAGTATGTTTCCCCACGTTTCAATGAGCTTCCTTTAAGCTCTGCTGTGGTTGTCACCTTCAGCCATTGTTTCACGATGGTGTCCTCGCACAGCAACAGCTGTAAATTTCCTCTGATATTCTCGGGGGCCTCTGCACTGATGGCCGTTTCCTATTTAACAGTAATAAAGCTATTGCCATGGTTACCCAGCACGCCTTGTGTTGCATGCCGATATAACCACGCCCTGTGTCTGTTCCTTTCTCTCCTTTCAAATAAGCTAAAGGCAGTCATTCTCAAACTGGAACACGACTCATACCGCCTAGAGAGCTTGTTCAAACACAGAATTCTGGCTCTGTCCCCAGGGTTTTGATTCAGTAGGTCTGGGCTGGGGCCTTGATCATTTGCATTTCTGTTAAGTTCTCAGTTGCTGCTGCTGCTGCTGCTACTGCTACTGGCCAGAGACCACCTTTTGAGATCCACGAAGCTGAGCTCTCATCTCCATAGCTTGGTTTTCAATGCAAGAAATGCAGAAACTTAGTTTATAAAGTGTTTTGCAATTGGTAGAAACCTGAGTTGTTCTTACCACTGCACCTAGGTTTTCACATGTGAACAGGGAAATGATAGAAACATTCTTTAGGATGGTCTTTGGAGAATTCCCCCAGTTCCATGCAGCTGTGGCCATGGGGAAGGCATGCTGGACAGGACTTGGAGTCAGATCCCAGCTGTCTCAGTGCTTAGATGCCACGGCCATGGCCAGCACTTGGCCTTTCTGCAACAGTTACCCAGATCTAACTTAGGAATACTGGTCTACAACCCCTATGCACCATGCACATTGTGAGTTTTAAAAGAAATAGTGTCTTTGTTGAACTGTAAAAGCTAGCTACTTTGACTTGGGTAAATTCTGGCACTCTATTTTATCCTTTCTAGCCTTGTGTGTCTTAAAAACTTGCCGAACATGAATATGCTGCAGATAAATAATGAGATCTGTAATGAGGCAAAATGTAGTTCCTGGCACACGTTTGGTGTGAGGAAGAAACACTGAGTCTACAAATGCTTCTTGTTTTCAGGGATTGATCTAGAGAACATTGTTTACTACAAGGACTGCACCCACTACTTTGTCATGACAGCCAAGAAGCAGAGCCTGCTCGACAAAGGTGTCATCATTAATGTACGTACCTCTTGGCTGTGATTTCCCAACTATCTTTTCCTTTGTGACCTGGGCTGGCAGCATCAGCAGGTGTGGGAGCAGATGTCCTCCCGCCAGAGACTGAGCAAGGGGAGGAGAGGGCAGGGACCACCTGCCTACCACTGTCCTTCCCTCGATGTTGCCGGAGTGCTGGATGAAGAGCCCAGGCCCATACACATAGAGAAGTCTCTGCAGAGCGTGTGCGGTGCTGTTAACATATTACTACATCAGCTGAGCTTTTGCTGCCCAAGACTCACTCAGCCCTGCCCCTTCTCTGGGAGGTCACGTGTCATCTGGAGGCAGAGGGGGCTCCTTGTCCTAGTGGGACATAGAGATGCTTTTGCTTGTGAATTTCACCCTATGAGCCTTCATCATGGTATGGAGGGAAGCTCACTATTCATGCAGTCAAAAAGATGCAAGCTGCATCTTGGCTGTGCCATGTACTCACTCAGATCATGGGCAAACTGAGCCCAAGCCTTGTCATCTACAAAATAAGAACAATAGTTTATGTCTGAAAGTTTATGCTCCTTGGAAGAAGCAAATAAACACACACACAGCACCTAGCACAGTGCTGTGCATGGTGGGTTGGTAGATCCCTCTGTAACTTCTCAGCCTTGTTTGGACACCGGCTTTTTGTCCTGCTGGCTTCCTGGCTGCTGCTCTGTGGCTTTGCCTCTTCTTGCACCAACACAGAGAAGGGTTGGAAGGGAGAAACATGGTGTGGTAGTCCCTGGCTGGAAGCTTCTATGGTCAGGTTTTCAGCCCTTCCAGAGCCCCTGTCATTGTCGCTGCTGCTGCATCCTCCAGATAAGGATCCTGCAGTGCAGGGTCAGCCTGCTCTGGGGTGTCAGCCTGGGCCCGGGCAGTGCGGTACCCATTCATCACTGCTTGTCAGAGAAGAATGTGTCTATCTTCTCGCCTGCTGGTGCTGGCAGCCGGCCGGGCGGCATTAGTAACCCAGCCCTCCCCTGGGCCGCCTCCCCCTCAGCCCAGGCCTTCGCTGAGAGCTGCCTTGTGGGCAGAGGCTGTGGACGCGGGCGGGTTGGAGCTGGCTGGGCCCCCAGATGGGTGGGCGGTGGGCTTCAGCACATGGCGCTCGCTGCCGACTGGTCAGTCTGGGGGAGGCGGATCCCCTTCTTCCCCCTGCCCTGCAGGCATCCCTCCAGAAGTCACCTCCTGAGTCTGGGGCTGACTGTCGGAGAGCGAAGGGTCATCCTGGGGTGCAGGTGCAGTGGGCGCTGGGCGGAGGTGGGGCTGGGCAGGCAGGTGAAGTTTGCCCGGATTCGTGCTCCACTGGCTGAGTTCTCCAGCCCCCTGGGATGCGAAGGTGACCTTTAGTCGTCCCAGGGCGTTTGCCCAGGCAGTGACACGTTCTCATGGACACTCGGTTGCTTGGCAGTTGGCAGAGCTCCTCCAGGCCCCGTGGTTGTCCTCGCCAAGGCCTTCCTTTCTCCCTCAGAGGACTCCGGAGCTCCTCTTGAGCTGGTGCTGAGGGGCCTCAAGTACTAAGTGGGAGCTCTCTTCTAGAAATCAGAGGCCTTAGGCTGGACGTGGGAGAAATGGATGCCCATTTGGATCAGGAGCTGTGGCCCAAGCCTCTGAGTTTCCAGCCACACTCTGTAGCATTTACCTGGCCTGTGAGCCGCTTAAGTTCACATTCTCCGTTTGCTTTCCAAGAAATGGCAGGTCCTCTCTGTTCTCCTCTCCTTGTGTGGATCAGCATCTTCCTATGGGCACACAGAAAGTGCTGAGTAAATGTTGATGACTGACCAGCCTCTGAGCAAGGAGTTTTCCTTTCCTGCTTCCCCATCGATTCCAGCTGCTCTCTGGGCTTCTTCCCATGGCTACTGAAGGGAGTAAAGTTTCTTCTCCAGAAACAGTGTGTTTGGGCTCCCAGCTGTGTCCATGTTTCTGTTCCCCACCAGGAGGATGTCCCATCCCAGAGCCTCCCTGGGCCCCTGCTCTGCTGGCCACTCATGCATGGGTTGGGATTCCTGGGCCAGCAGGCCTGCTGTCAGCGTGCTGTGGACGCTTGGCTGCTGGGCGAGGCATGGTTGGTGCACAAACGGCAGCCTCTTGTTGCTGATCCTCACCCTCCATCCCCATGGAGCATGTGGGCATCGCCGACCTCCTCTGCCAGCCTCCAGCCTCTTCCCCGCTCAACACTTGGGGAGGCTGCTATTCTTATGCGGCCCACCCCCACTCATGTTCCCTGCTTCCCTCCACACTACCCTCCCCCCCCACCTCTCTGTCCAGGACCCAACCTCCCCCAGGACCATAGGCCTGTGGCGAGTGGGCCCAGGTGCATCCCCGTGCCTCCTTTGTCTTCATGCAGGATGACGTCTCTGGGCCTGCCTGCTTCACTTAGAACCTGTTTCCTGTCCCTTTCCCCCACTTTTGTCCTCTCATGCCATTCTCACCTCCTCCCTATAGTTCTGCTCCTCCTGCCCTCCACCACTCACCTGGGACCCTCCAGCCCCTCGGAGGCCCCGCCGCAGCCGAGGGCCAGGTGGGCTGTCATACAGGTCTGGCCCAGAGGCCTGCTCCCTCCGCCAGGTCCTCACACTGCTGTGGGGGCGTCCACACCAGGCAGTTTCATGTCACCCACGACCCCACCTCAGGGATGTTGCTTTGAGCAGGGGTGTGTTTGAGACCGCCCCCTTCACTCATCCTCCGTCTCTCTGCACACCTTCAGGGGGGGACAGGATCCTTGGCTGCAGCAACGGGGGTGGGAAAGACCACCAGAGAACAGGACCCCCATCCTGGACACCAGGACCTGACAAAGGGCTCTCGGACCAATGCTGGGCACACTTCGGGGCATGTGGTTTGGATGTAGACATTTTAGAATTTTTAAAACAGGGTATTTGAAGTCATGGTGATTCAGAAAATTGAGATACTAGGTCACTCTGGTTGTAGATAGACCTTGTAGATGTGGTGCCTTGGGTAGGTCTAGGTGCACGTCAGCATATCCTGTGTTTTGTGCCATCATGAATTGCTGGGGCCAGGAATTCCCATGCATTGAACACTTCCCACATGCCTGGCATGGGGTTAGGGATTTCACATATGCAGTCTCCTTCAATCTACATCTGTGAAATAGATTTTGTTATAACCACTTTACAAATGAGAAGATGAAGACTCAGAAAAGTTAAATAACTTGCCCAAATTTATAGCTAGTAAATAGCAGAGGTGGACTTTGACCTGTCGCTCTTGCTGACCCCCAAATCTGTGCTCACCATGCACACTGGTCCTCTCTACCCCCAGGTCTCTGTGATTTTTTTGTCACCTTTGGGAAAGGTGGTCTTTTTAGTTCCTTTAGCCAGATGGTGAGCATCTTGGACTCTGGGGATACGCCAACCTTTCCTACTTCCTTCAGTCCCTGACATCCTGCGGTTCATTGCCAGTATCCCTCCAGGATGGACATCCTCGTTCTCTTAGCTCAGGGTTCTCCACCCCCAGCAGGGAAGTCTAACAATTAACACCATGAGCAAAGCCCCAAGCCTTGAGCAGCCTCCCTTGGCCTGTCAAGAAAAGGGGTAACTGATTCTGGAGAGAAAATCTGAGTTATGCCGAGTACCAGTTTTTTCCTGGTCTTGTTTGACCACTAAACACAGCATATCCGGACCGTGTTAGCTTAGCTCAATTCATTATGAAGTCACACTTACTGATTTGCTCTTGGTCTTTTAACTGTATTGGAAGTTACGGTGAGAACCAGCCACACAAAACGTGCTTGTCGCTTGCTCCAAGACCGTTATCAAGTCCGCTGTTCATTACAACTCTCAGGGTTCTCTGTTGAAATTCCTACATGAGACAGATCTTTTAGAATTTAGTGCCAGGAAAAAATTGCCTCCCCTGAGGAATTTCTATGCTTCCTTCTTTCTGATAAGGAGAGCCCTGTAATGTATCACATTTCCCTTTTGCCCTGGATGCCGGGAAGCTCAGTGCCAAACTCCATGCTTAATCGCAATCATGTTAACCCCAACAGCTGGCTCATTTATTTCCTCTTTATTCCCTTGGCCCTGATTTTCTATTTTTTGTTTTGATTAGCTTCATCGTAGAGACACACCCCAAGTCCTTTTGCTGAGTGGCTGATGCAGACTAGCCCTTTAAAGGAGCAGGTTACTATACCGTGTTTTGATCTCCCCCAGGACTACATCGACACAGAGATGCTGCTGTGTGCAGAGAACGTGAACCAAGACAACCTCCTCTCCTATGCCCGGGAAGCTGCAGACTTTGCCACTAACTACCAGCTGCCATCCTTAGACTTTGCCAGGAACCACTACGGGCAGCCCGACGTGGCCATGTTTGACTTTACCTCCATGTACGCCTCGGAGAATGCGGCCCTGGTGCGGGAGCGGCAGGCACACCAGCTGCTCGTGGCCCTCGTGGGTGACAGCTTGCTCGAGGTACCGCCTGCATTCGGAGCCCCCTCATTCCTGCACCGAGACAGATCCTGCATTTATATTCTGGCAGGCAGCATCTGCTGTCATGCAACGGGGGAAGGACAGGCTCCCAGCCAGTTGGCAGGGCTCTGCCAAGCCCGCCCGGGCCTTGGAGCCTGCCCTGCTAAATTCGGAGGAGCCTGTTCTGCCTGTGTGGAGGTGGGACAGCTTTCTCTTCCAGCCATGGGTTCTTCTGCGCTCACTTCCTGGTTGAAGTTCAAGATCGGGCAGCCCTGGTCTAGACCACATGGGCTGTCCTTCTCAGAGTGTGCAGACCTTCAGCTGGGCCAAGACTCCTTTCTCATGTGGGTGGCCCTGTGTGGTCTTTGGAGAGGCGTGTGGGCTCCAAAGTCCAGAAAATCTGTCAGTGCGAGGACTCGTAGATTAAATAAATGTTTTCAAAAGGGCTACATTTTTATCTTTAATGCAAGCATTGATCAAAACATGTTTATGTATTTACCGCAAGTTATGAGTTGAATTCCAAACCACACTTTTGGCACTTCTGGAAGAGGTTAGTTATCACTTAGCCTTGAATTAGCCCTTGGGCACTGTTAGGCAAGGACCACTGTACGTGGACTTGAACTGAAATTCCTTAGTGAGCATTCAGCACCCACCCTGCTTCTGGCCCAGCCTCCCTCCCCAGTGTGACTTCTCTCCACACTCCCCCCATGCTCTGTGCTACACCCCAACCAGAGGGCTGTTCTTCCAACATTTTCCAGCCACTATGCCTTTGCCCACACTATTCCCTAGTGTGTCAGGGGCAGAATCCTATCCATTCTTTAAGATTGGTTTAATGCTGCTCTTTTTTCTTTTTTTTTTTTTTTTTTTGAGACAGTCTCACTCTGTTGCCCAGGCTAAAGGGCAGTGGCACCATCATAGCTCACTGCAACCTCAAACTCCTGGGCTCAAGCAATCCTCCTGCCCCAGCCTCCTGGTAGCTGGGATTACAGGTGTGCACCACCACACCCAGCTCATTTTAATATTTTTTGTAGAGATGGGGATCTCACTGTGTTGCTCAGGCTGGCCTTAAACTCCTAGCCTCAAGTGATCCCACCATCTCAGCCTCCCAAAGTGCTGGGGTTATAGGCGTAAGCCACCTGACCAATGCCACTCTTTCATGAAGCATGCTCTGATTTCCATCTCCCTCTCCCAGGGTGGGAATTGCCTCACCTTTTCTGAGCCCTAAAGCAGTTTTGCTGTACCTGTGTCACAGCTCCCTTTGCATTTGACTCTGTGCTACAGCTATTTGAGCTTGTGGTGAATCCTTGTAGGTCTCAGGGTCCCTGCCCTGTCACTTCTCAATTCTTCCAATTCCTTGAGCAAGCCTGGCCATCAGTGTGTGCTGGGTACAATGGGACCGTAGACTGGGCAATCAGAGAATCAACCAGAGTTTTGCACATTTTCTTTTGCAGCCATTTTGGCCCATGGGCACAGGCTGTGCCCGTGGCTTCCTGGCAGCCTTTGACACAGCGTGGATGGTGAAGAGCTGGAACCAGGGCACCCCTCCCCTGGAACTGCTGGCTGAAAGGTGAGTTCTGCCATCAGGGTTCCTAGCTGAGGGCAGGGCCTTGTCAAAGGCTCAGGCAGGAAGAGGGACAAGATCACCTACCTGGCAGGTGCCCAGATGACTCTTGGATGTTCCTAGAGCCTTTGTGCCCCCTGAATTAGCCTTCCCACGTGTGGCCTGATTGATCACTGGGTCTCCAAGGATACTTTCTTCCTTCAGTGCCCCTCTCTGGTAGCCAGGACCTCAGGCCCTGGATGCCACAGAGAAGTCTTCATCTGGGGTGGCCCTAGAGCCGGGGATCCCCAACACTGCTCACTCACCCAAGAGCCAGAGAGGTTTAAAGGAGTCTTCTAAGACAGTGCTGAGTGTCCCGCCCTGGTTGGGTTCTCTGGCCTCCCAGGCTTCTCCCACTGCTGAGATTCTGGGCTTCCTCCCAGACCCCTGCTGCTGGCCACGTGGCCATGTGGCTGTGACAGCTGGCGGACACTGGAAGTCAGGGCTGGCGGGTCAAGGCAGACCTCTGACAGTCTTGTGTGTGGAGGCTTGTGGTCAAGGGTAAAGGCTGCAGGAGGCAGCGTGGCTGGGTGTGGTTACAGCAAAACCACAGGTCACCGTGCCACCAGCCCTGCACTCCTGCTTCTGCCCAGGGAAGGAGACCAGCATCCCTGCCTCTCAGACACCCCTCTTCTCTCAGCCTCTTTGTTCCCCAACTTTGCAGATCTCAAGAACCACGCGCGTTGGGTATCTCAGGGAAGGGTTATACAAACACCTCCAAGAAGCCCTTGAAAGAGGGGGATGGTGGGGATGGGGGACAGAGGCCTGAGACAACAAGGCCTAACCTCCGGGCTCTGCCTCCCTCCAGAGAAAGTCTTTACCGGCTGTTACCTCAGACAACCCCAGAGAACATCCACAAGAACTTTGAGCAGTACACGCTGGACCCAGGGACGCGCTACCCGAACCTCAACTCCAACTGTGTCAGGCCCCACCAGGCAAGTCTGTCCCGGGGCCCTGTCTGGGTCACTCTGCACTGGGTGGTGGGAAGGGGGTCACATAAATCCCAGCTTATTCCCGGGACCCAGGGTAGGACCAGTTCTTCCCCCCAGGAGAGTCGACATTCTCTGCAGCCCACAGGAGAGAACTAGAACTCCTGGGATAAATTAATATAAGCTTCTGTGCATACATTTACATATATTAATATTAATTTGCACTGTGCATATACGTTGCTGATCACACCTCTCTCAAATAATCTACTCAGACAAGTATCCTCCCTCCTCACCACCATGGTCTTTGAGACCTTTTTTCTCCCACTAACTTGGAGCCACCAAACCCCCAACCTCACTGGTCAATGGAACAGAGAAAGGTGTGAATTTTTAAATTTAGCCAATTACATATATGCAAACTAGACACATGCATGCACACAGTTGCCCACAGTTGGGTGGGTGATTGAGGTCCCTTGGTCTGTGACTCGTGCCCTCCAGCGAGGGAGAAAGGGGGCAGGCACTGAGTTTGGAGGCCCTGAGACGAGGATTTAGGGAGCCGGTAGGCAAGCGTGTGTCTCTCTTGCTCATAGGTGAAGCACTTGTACATCACGAAGGAGCTGGACCGCTACCCTATCGAGAGACTGGGCTCTATGAGGAGATCCGTCAGCCTCTCCAGGAGGGGTAAGCGCCCCCCTGGGGCCCTGGCCAGACAGCCGGGAGGGGCTTTGCCGGGGGGAGGCCTGCCCAGTGGCAGTGGAGACACAGGCTCTGCAGCAGCCCGGCTTGCTACCTGTGTGATCTTAGGCAGGCACCTTTCCTCTCTGAGCTGCGGTTCCCTCATCTGTGAGACCAAGGGAACATCTGCCTGTAGAACCATCGTGAGGACTGAAGGAGTTGATACGTGTTGAGAGCTTAGCACAGCAAATGCAAACCGTGGAATCACTCAATGGGACTTGTTTTTATGCTCCTGTTGTTTCTAGTGTAGGGGTCTTGTCTCCCCAACTGGATGACAAGCTTCATGTGTGTCACCTTTTCCTGACCTTACTGGGCATAAGGCCGGTGCTCCATGGCAGGGGAAGGGGATGATTGGATGAGTAACCGCCCCCCATGCCCCTGCACCCAGCTCAGCCAGGGCACTGCTCTGCCCCGAGACCTCCCGGCTCCCTGTGCCTGTCCAGACCTGGCGTCTGTCCTCTCCCTCCCTAGGCACGCTCAGCCGTATTCCTCTCTTCCCTCCATACTCCATGTGCCTGCTGCTATAACCAACCATCTCACCACCACACAGACATGGCAGATTTTTCTAGATTCTTTGCCATTGCACAGTCCTTTCTGTCTTCCTAGAATGCCTTCTCCTGTGTTGGATTCCTAGACACTCTTTAAGGACCAGCTCAAACGCACCTGCCCCGTGGCACTTTCTTTGGAGAGTGCCCCCCTCCACGCCCCCAGGGCTGCAGCCTCGGGCAAGGGGGCTTCCATGCTCCCACGGCACCCTGTTTCTCCCTCCGTTGTGGCACCATGTCATCATCAACCCCCAGACCCCTGAGTCTGATGACCCCGCAAGATAAGCGTGTTGCTGGCATGGCCTGTGTTCCTAGCGTGTCACCCAGGGCCCGGCCACAGTGGTCGTGGGGACCGTGCTGCAGGAGTGTGTGCTTCCTGTCCCAGCATCCTGCCCTCCTGCCATGCTCTCGGCTGGGCCCCCAGGCAGCAGCACTCAGGGGCTGCACCCATGCCAATGGCCCCTGCCCCCTTGCCTGGCTGCCACTCCTCCTGGTCCCCAGCCATGGTGGCAGTGGCAGGGGATCCCTTCAGAGCCTCACTGCCTGCACTTCCCTTCCTGCAGAGTCAGACATCCGGCCCAGCAAGCTCCTAACCTGGTGCCAGCAGCAGACCGAGGGCTACCAGCACGTCAACGTCACGGATCTGACCACATCCTGGCGCAGCGGCCTGGCCCTGTGCGCCATCATCCACCACTTCCGGCCTGAGCTGATGTGAGTCTGGGGCCCACTGGACCCTGGAGATGAGAGATGCCAAGGCTGCTCTGCTGGGTGCAGAATCTTCACTACTGGGTTCAGTGTCACTCTTGCCATGTTTTAGATTTCAGTTCTTCTTAAATTTGTTATTTTCCCTTTGTACTGGTGACTCTATCAGCAATGTGTTTGATCTGTGTTCCTCACACGTGAGGGTGAAAATTGGCTCAGGCTTACTGATTGCGCTCTCCGGTCCCTCCGGTTGCCACACTTCGGAAATTTGAGTGTTTGCACTTTGTAACTCTGCCCTCAAGAGAGGAATTACAGGCAAGACCCAATTCTGGGGACTGGTTTGAGGATTTTAAGGAATTAGGTTTGAGAGGCAGATCCATAAGCTGTGTGCCCTTGGGCAAGCCACTTACCTTCTCTGAGTTTTAGATTCTTCATCTATAGATTGGGAAATACAGCAAAGACATTAGGAAGATCAGATTATGTTAGTGCAAACACAGTGTGATGTCCAAAGCCTGAGACATTTGTATTTAAATCAATAGCAGTATAGCCTCACGCCTGTGTGCAGATCCACCAAAAAGACTGAGAGGAAGCTAACCAAAGGGTTATCACTTTGCACTTTTAGCAAGTGAGGTTGCTTTGAGAAAGGGATGGGACTCTCACTTTTTGCTTTATATGATATATATAAAACTCGATTTTTTTTACAAGATGCCCATTATCACTTTTGTAATTAAAAAGAAAAAATATAAGGGAAATACTTAAAATTAAAGTAACATAAATTTTCCAAAGAGATTTAAATTAATTTCTGGTGGTTTCTGCCTAGGTGGCAATGACATTATCATGGCCCACGTCTGATTTGGTCCCTCTCTGAGTGGGAAGGATGGCATTAGCACCTTCTGGAGGGTGGGGTGAGAACTGGGGACAGGGGCTGGGGTCACTGCTCCTTTGCCCCCAACCCCTGCTGACACCCGGCAGAGTATCACTCCACAGTGCTCAGCTCATCCCACCTCTGCCTCCTCTCCCTGAATTTCTCTACTTTGTTTTGATTTTCTAGCAACTTTGACTCTTTGAATGAAGACGACGCTGTGGAGAACAACCAGCTGGCGTTTGATGTGGCCGAGCGTGAGTTTGGGATTCCTCCGGTGACCACGGGCAAAGAGATGGCATCAGCACAGGAGCCAGACAAGCTCAGCATGGTCATGTACCTCTCCAAGTTCTACGAGCTCTTCCGCAGCACCCCGCTGAGGTCCATGGGTAAGGACCTGCTTGGCTCCTTGAGCCATCTCTGTCCTCGTGCCCGAACCCAGCTACCGTCCTCTGCTCTGGGGCCGGTGGTAAGCCTTCCCTTTGACTGTGAGGTCAAACAGGGTTGACCCCACTCACCCAGACCCTGTGTGTTTGATTGCATCTGTATGCCATTTATATATTTAGTTTGGGGCAAGGGAATTATTTTAGAGGTACCTTGTTATAAGAACACCCCCTGGTTACAGCATGCCCCTGGGCCCAGGATCTAAATCTCGGTTGTGTTTTTGTCTCCCAACAGATTCTTGGCGCAAAAATTACGGAGACAATGCTGACCTTGGCTCGGCGAAATCATCCATTTCTAATAACTATCTCAACCTCACATTTCCAAGGAAAAGGACTCCACGGGTAAGTTTCAGCCTGGTTTTTGTTTTATTTCTCATTGCACGTGCACGGGGTCTGAGGAACGGAGCACTTGAGGTTCTCAGTCTGTTTATGCTGGTGAGTTACACAGATCAAGCGCCCACCAAAGATGTGCCTAAAACTCGGTTTAGTCACTGAGTGTTTTTGGAAGTTCTCCCTGGCACCGTGAAGCTGGTTTCACTGACGTGGAAGTGGTGGCAGGAGGGGCAGGGTAGGCAGCAGAGAGGACGTGCCGGTGAATATTTTTAAAAGTGAATCAGAATAGCTCTGCCTCCTGGGGAATGGGAACGAGATGATTTCTCACTTTGCTGAGCAGTTTAGTTCAGGAACACGATGGCCATCATTTAGTGGCAGAAGCATGTGGTGGTGCTACGTTTACACATGCGCCCCATTAATTTTTACTTCTTCATTCATTGGACAAATGTTTGTTGGGCTCTACTGTATGCCGGCTTTAGGGCTATGGTTTTGTTTGGTTTTGATGAGGGAAGCAAATATGTGGAAGTGAATAATAAATGGACCTTAGCTTTGAGGAGCTTAGAGCCTAATAAAAAGGTTTCCAAACTTTCTCAGCTTGTGGCTCCCTAGTGTCTCTGTAATTTTTTTTCACAAAAATTACAAAGGAAATACCTAAATATTCTATTTATTAAGTAGTTAAGTCCAAATAATTTAATAGGAGTATTTTTCAAGGTGTCTGATAGACATCATTGTATTTTCCTAGAAAATTAAAAATATCCTGTGGCTCCTCTGTGAGTTCACCATGGTGCCACAAGGTGCCTTGGTACACATTTTGGGAATCACCCAAGGACCAGAGTGTTGGGGAACAAGAGAATTTGAGGGGCTGGCAGGGGCAGAGCAGCCAGGAAAGAAGAGGGGGAAGGGGCAGTCCGAGAGGCAGAGGGGTGTCAGAAAGCCTGGGGAGCAGAGTGGGTGTATAGGGTGGCCCAGGGGACAATGCCAGCATGCACCAGGGGGCCATCCAGGCAAGGGCTGAGGAAAGGCTGCAGGGTGTGGATGAGCCAGGGCAGAAGCAAATGTCCATGTTCTGGGGCTGGTATGGGCGGTTCTGGGAGGTCCATAGGAGCAGAGGAGAGAAGATGGGTCACAGAGAACGGGGCCAGGGCAAGGCCACTGGCAGGAACAGGGCTAGCTCAGGGCAGGGCACTTGTGAGTACCCACCCAGAGCTCTCCTTCCAGCTCCAGGACGGCAGGGCATCTCCACCGACATGCAGTGACTGGAGGCCCCTGCAAGTCTCTGAGTGTGTTTAGGGCCGACAGTCTCTCCAGCCCTGGCCACTGCCACGTGGTGCTGCCAGCCCCTCTGCCCAGGGTGGGTGGGGCGGCCAGACTCCTTTTTCTTCCTGGGCTATGTGAGCAGTGATCACTTTTTCCACTGGGCCTCCACTCCCTGCTCCCCGGAATGCTGCGGTGGCTGTTTCGCTAACTCCGGGAGCAGGATACTTCATGCCTCTGCCCCTCCCTGGCTCTGGAAGGGATGGGCTGGCGAGGCCGGGCCAGGCAAGGAAGGTGTACGGCAGAGCGGCCGAAATGATGAGCTGCTCCCCTCGCCTCCCGGGCTGCCCCCAGCTAGAGGCTCTGCCTGAGGACTACGCTGCCCAGCCTGTCCCACTGCGCGACAGCGCTGTCTTCTGGAGACCAGTGGTCAGCTTCCTCCACACCCAGCCCAGCCGTTTTTCCTCTGAAGCCCAAGGACCCTGCTTCGGGCTGCTCTGCCTCAAGCAAGCCAGTGCAGTCTTTCTGGAAGCTCTCTGCGCCAGACATTTGCCGCCTTTTCCGTTCAGCCTGTCTCTCTTGCCACTCATCCCACAGAGGGAGCTGCAGAGGGACGTCTCCACCTTTCACTCACCACACCTCTGTTTACAGAGTGACCCAACTGAAACAGCCCAGCTGGCGCTGGCTCAGGAGGTGGGGAGGGTCAAAAGTCGGGAGCAAGGCCGGCCGGGCCCTCCGAGGCCTGCTAGGAAATGCCTGGGGAGTAGGAGGGTTCTGCCCGGCCCAACCCTGGCCCATTTTGAACCATGTCCAGCCTCCTGTGGGGTGTGTCCCCTGGCTGCCATTTTGAGGGGGTTAAGGCCCTGATCCCTCCCACAGCCTCACTTTAGACAAGTTAACGTCTGAACTTCGCCCACTCTTTGGATAGGGAGAGAGCTTTGGTCATTGAGCTAAGTGCCTGGCATGGGCATTACTTGTCCTTCTCTCCTCGAAACAAGTATTTCCTCTGAGTGAGTAGGTGGGCTAGTAAGGCCACTGGATCACACTCTGCCTTGGTCATCACCGCAAGGCCCCACACATTGGCCACCACCCGATGGCAGCACAGAGATCAGGCCACTTAGAATGTACCTTCGCCCTATCCTTCCGTGGGTCGGCATCTTGTACTGGGATTCTCTTTTGGTCTGGGGAAACCATTTGCAGTGCCCTTTGGCCTTGACATTTCCCACAAGCAAAGAGCACAGAGTTCATTCCAGTCTGGTCCTGCATGGACACAGAGGATGTTTGCACACAAGACTCTGAAATCCGCACACACAGCCATGCCTGTACACAGAGGCTCCACGACAGTTACACCAAGGAGCTATCAGCACAGGTAGACACACAACCCTCAGTGCCCTTGCTCAGGTGCCGTTATGGAATGAAGACACAGGGTCGGCCATGCTCTAGGATTCCATACCATACCCCCCCCCACACACACACAATATCTGTACCTATAGGTGCATCTGTATTTGACCTTCCTCCCCACCCTGTCCTAACCTCCTCCCCAACTTCCAGAGGAACATCGTATTCCAGGGATTGAGCAGCACACACGTTGTTTCCAATGTGGCTTCTTCATCTGAAGAGGGTTCATTGGTTCTCTGCTGAGCCAGGCTTAAGAATCTCTCTCCCTCCTGGTTTTCACTGTTGGAGTTAAATACTTCTCCCCTCCCAATCTTTCTGATAACATCCAAATCCCAGCAAGACTTATCAACTTCTTTAATTAAGCAAAATTAAAGACTTTTTCTCCATCAAGGATCTTGCTTACTTTTAGAGAAAGTAACTTTCCCAGCCCACCGTGATTGGGTGGATTAGCTCTGAAGACTGGGCAGCTATGCCTGGGAAAAGGAGAAGAGCTTAGGGATCAGCTTTTCCTCCTAAAAGGCCCTGGGTTGGCTTCTGCAGATCTGTCTGTGATGCTGGTCAGCATCTAATATCCTCAAGGCATGGGACAATTCCTGGGGCTCCAGGGTTTTTGTCACCATGCCTGCAGGTAACACCTGAACACACGTCCCCGGCCTCTATGGTTCCTGTGTGCACACGCACTCTCACACAATACCTCTCTGTACTCTCCCAGACCTGCCACACGTGGGTGATGCCTGTACTTATGGCCACTGCAGTCATTGCACACGTTATACTACATACATATGCAGGATACTTGATTTTGTCCCATTCTGAGCCCACTCCTTGGGGGACAACACAAAAGTTGTCACTCGTTCCTGGAAAGCCCGTCCCAGAAGCCAGGCAGGTGGCCCCAGGATTTATCCTGTTTAGCCGGGTCCTCCTCCTCCAGCATGGGTCCTGGTGGAGTGCAGCTCACAGAGCATGGCTCCCCTGGTCTCAGTGGCCCGGGTCCCCTCCCCAGCCCTCCTCTCCTTGACCCTCCTGCATCAACACTTTCCAACGAGCTGTAACCAGTTCCATGAGCAAGAAAACGTTTCCTAGCTGTCTCAGAAATTGGCTTTCTGTGCAGCAAGCAGCAAAGAGAATCCCCTTTGTGGGTTCTTTACCTGAGCCAGGGGCATTATGTAAGAAAGTGCCTCTTCTGTCCGTCCATTCATTCAACTGTTTATTGGCCATTATTTTGCACTGACTTTTCTTCTTGGTCCTGGGGATTGAGCAGTAAGCAAGACAAGCAAGGACCTGCCCAGGGAGCTGACGACCTAGTGGAACTTACGAAGTTCTTCTCTCCGCTTCCCTAGCCTCTCTCACAGAACCACCCACCCAGCCGCCAAAGCTCCCCACTAGGCCTCTGGTACTTCTCATGTCAGAGTTGGGACGGTGTCTCGGGAGAGCCGAGAGTGCTGGCTTCCAAGACAGGGCAAGCACAGGGCCCTGGAGCAGCCCCTCCTAGCACCTGTGGTCTGCCGGTCACTGCCAAGCTGCAATCTCTCCTTTCCTCCATACAACCTCAGCCCGGGATCAGAGCTGATTTACAGACTGGGAATGCAATTTGAAGCCGAGGAGACAAACATGTATTTAGGCCTGCTGGGGATTCGACAAATGTTGCAATCTCTCAGAGAGCTGCTTTGCCTGTCTGAAAACTGAGGGTAGTAATGTATACATCACAGCACCACTGCAAGGGGGAAGGGAGCAGGGACGTGCAGCAGGTCTGAGCGGTGGGAGGGGCTCCGTGAGTGACAGTTCCCTTCCTTTAGGGATGCTGATTACGTGAAGCTGCTTGCTCTCTGAAGAGATGAGTAAACTCTCTGGATGGCACACTGGTTCTAGACTGCAGCCGCAATCCATACAGCACTCTCCTGCATGCAGAGGGCCGTCCTGTGTGTCTCACTGGCTCCTCGTGTCACCTCTGGAGGAAGGCTGGGGACATACTCTCATGCCAAGGTTTAGATTAGGAAACTTGGACTTGGGGAGCTTAAATTTTCATAAGTCATGTAGGTGGCAAATGTCAAAGCTAGAACTAGAATTCAGATGTTTAAGATTCTGTTAAACTAATGCTGACGTCACTAATAGTGTCTAACACGTGTTCAGTAGTCCCTGCTTACCCACAGTTTCAGTGACCCGTGATCTACCACAGTCCGAAAACATTAAATGGAAAATGTCAGAAATAAACAATTCATACGTTTTAAATTGTGCACCATTCTGAGTACCGTGATGAAATCTCGCCCCATCCCACTCTGTCCTGCTTGAGACATGAATCATCCCTTTGCCCAGCGTATCCACGCTGTATATACTACCCACCCATTACTCACGGAGTAGCCGTCTCAGTTACCAGATCAGAAAACATAGTGTGTAGATGTATGTTTAGGGTTCAGTACTATCTGCTGTTTCAGGCATCCACTGGTCTTGGAACATATCCCCCAAGGATAAGGGGGGACTGCTATATAGCACTTAATAGTTTAAGAAGTGTTTTACATCCATGATTTCATTATTCCTCACAACAGCTTATGAACTAGACAATACAAGATCCCTTCTTATAGGTAAGGAAACTAAACTCAGAGAGGTTGATGATTTTCCTAAGGTCACACAGCTGGGAAGCAATTAGTACCGGAACTCAAACCCAGGCTTCCTTAAAGAAAGAGCTCCCGGGCTAGTATCACAGGCCGTCTTTTAAATATCAGAGCCCCTGCCCAACTCAACCAGGCAATAGGCTGCTATGGCCAATCTCTCTTCCTGTGACCCAGATCTAAATTTCTCCAGGGCTAGGCTACACCAGCTAACTAAATATAAAGCTTGTTGGCTTTGAGCTAAAATCACATTAACTCAAGCAGTATGGGAATGTGGTTATCTCATGCTGATCAAGTAAATGATCAGACTGGCAGATGCATGTCTTTGATTTTATTTAATGGGGAAGCCAATTAGTTTAATAAATGCCTTTGGATATATAGACTCTTTCAAATCATTGGGAAATCATGGTAAGAAAGTATTCTTAGGGTGAAAGAGCTGGAAACATTAATAGGGAAAGAAAGCAAGTTATTTGTTTATTCTCCTGCTCTTTCTGGGCATGATAAGCATTTTCCTTCTCTTTGTACTTGCCATTGTTTGGAGAGTACAGTAGGGTCCAAGGAGATGGGGGTACTGAGGCAATTTTGGCTTCCAAATATAGATGTACAGGCAAGAAAAAATTAGATAAATCTTTAGGTTTGAATTTTCTTATCCTTTTTGTTTTAACCTAGATCTTAGTTGAGAATCAGTGCTTCAGTGATAAATCCATAAGGAAAAGGAAAAGCCATTTGGGCATGTATGTTGCTAACCTTTCCATGTAGACTGCGCTTCGCCATCCCATAGATCAGGGTGGGTCACAGGGACCGAGGTTGCCCCCATGCACTTGCTTTATTTCCCCCAAAGGACTGGAGTCCCTTAGGAGCTGCTGGCTGGGCACCCTCCCCAGGAACGCCTCTTAGGAGCCCATGGCTAACACGGCTGGTTTGGATCTATACTGGCTTGGACGGTGGATTGAACAGTGTCACCCTGGGCTGTTGAATGCAAATGAGAGAGTGAAGTGTGCTGCTCTTTGGAGGAACAGCCAAATCCTCATTTAAGATGGAACAAACAAACAAACAAAACCCCCCAGAAACCCCTCCTACTGCGCAGGAAGTGTCTCCGCTGGGTAGGACGTTCTGTACTTTCACAGGCTCGGGTCTCGGGGCCAGCGCAGCGTTCACAGGCCGCAGCGCTGAGCCCCAGACAGCCTGTGCCTCTGAAACCCAACACTGTTGCAAATAAGGTCATCTGTTTCTCTTGGTGTTTGCCCAAGCCTTTGGCTTAAAATCATTTCCATTCACAGAATACTGATTTATTAGAAGCTGAGGAAAATGTTGAAGAGAAGGCAGGGCCCTTTGATCTGTTGTTTTGTGCCTCCTGGGTCAAATTTTGGACAAATATCAATGACTAAACCGTGGTTGATCTTGCTTTTTACAAAGCTGGTAAACAGGGGCGGGGGGCAGGGCAACGGGGAGGGCGAGAGCCAGGGGCGCAGGTGCTCTCTGCTGGAGGCAAGGTGTGCGGTGGACTGCATGCTGGGGTTCCCATAGTCGTCCTTTCGGAATGACCGGGAGGGGAAAGAATCCTCCTGTAAATTGGGCTTACTGGGCTGTGTGCCTGGGTTTGAGGTGAGCAGGTGGCCAGCAGCCCTTCCCACTGTGTCCGCGGTGGTAGAAAGCCAGGATCTCCTCTGGACCTGCCATGGAGAGCCCCTCTGAGAGTGTAGGAAGGAGGGTCCCTGCAGAAGGGATACATAGTTGGTGAGGCACGGCTTATGGCTCCATGGTCCTGGGGGAGCTGGCCCCTTAGAGAAGAAGACACCAGAGGCTGGAATCTGGCAGTGGAGAGGAGGGGGTGGGGGCCTAGCCCAGTGTCACGGATAGGCTCACACACGGGGCAGAGAAGGTGCTAAGCTCAGCCCCAGCCCAGCCCATAGCGATAGCTCCACCTTGACTGGGTTGTATGGTCACTCTAGTCACCAGGTGACATCTAATGCTTATTTGAAATTAAAATATTGTTTACTAGTAGCTGTGATGGTGACTGATTTGCAGGCTTAATTTGCCATCAAATCCCTGGACAGCCCATTTGAGCCCCGAGAATCCCTGTGAGGGGAAACAGGTCACCTCCTCACAGGAGAGGGGCTCCCGAGGTACACAGAGGCCCCAGGTGGTCTCCATAAGGCAGCAGCATGTGGCAGGAGCCAGCAAGCCTGGCTGTGACCTCAGAGTCACTCAACTGCTCTGAGCCCAAGGCCACACTGCAGTGCAGACTGCCATGTCACAGGCATTCCTTTTGCTTTGGGATGCTTCATCACAAACTTTTGGGATGTAATTCCCACCTCTTCTGACCGAACCCTTGGCTCCCTAGGTGGGGTAAGTTTCCCTCCACTGTGCCTGAACAAAACTGTGTGACAGCTTTTGTCACAGTGCAGGGTGATTTATTACGGTGATTGCATGCAGAGTGGCGGCTGTCTGCAGCAAGGGTACATCTGTAGTGCCAGTGCAAGGCCAGCCCTATAGCCTCAGGGATCTTAGTGGGGCTGAAGCCCTTGAACTCACCCTGAACTCACCCTGCTTTCTTGGCCATTGCAGGTGGATGGCCAAACCGAAGAGAATGACATGAACAAACGGAGGCGGAAAGGCTTCAATAACCTGGATGAGGTTTGTGAGCACAGTGTCATTTTAAACAAAGGCTCATTTCCTGACAACCAGTGGCCGCAGGGCTGCCTGACCCTGACACCAGCCCTGGCCCTCTTCCTCTCCCCCCTCATGAACCACTGGGTTCCAAGCTTGGCTTGATGGAAAAGTAGTCTGGGTCTGGTCCTCACTTTACTACTTACTGGCTCCGTAACCTTGAGAAACGTAACCTCCCAGGGTGTGGTTAGTGTCTGTGAAATGCAGTCACGAATCTCTGCAGCATTTTTAAACATGAATAAGATGATGGATCTAGCATGCTTGACATGGTATCTGTCACATCTGTTATTAAATATATAATCACTATTAATAGCAATAGTAAGTAGTAAAGAGGCACCCATAATGCCCCTTCTCTCACAGTTGTTGTTTGTATTCTTTTATGTTTTCTGTGCTTTTAGTCTTTAAGGCAAATGTCCTGGTGCCCACAAGTGCCACCTTCTGGTGAAAGAAGAAAATTACAGGTTAGTTTGTCAAGAGCACTAATCTCTAACTGCTTCTGAAAAATCAGTCAGCAGGAAGAGTATCAGTTCCTGCTTCCCCAGGCAGCTCTTTAAAGAGACCTGAGATATACACTTCATTCAAAAAAAAGCCATTCTAATTCCACGGGCATACATACTGTCAACGAAGTACAGGATGCCAGCTTTCGCTGTCCTGCTGGCTGATGTCAAAATGAGGACTTAGAGTCATGTGGGGCAATCTATATAACACATCGATGCCTGATTTATAGGACTCAGAAGAGACTTTTTCTATTTTATATGGTTGAGGAGGTTTTATCGCTGTATATTTGTATGACATCATTGTTCATGTCTGACTTGCTCCATCTTACAACAGTGGACTTTATTATAAATATAAAAATAAATATAATAAGCAGAATCACGAGGGCTACCTGGGGTGGGGGTGCAGCTGCCTGCTCACCCCATCTCCTGGGGTGCTCAAATGGAAGCATCAATAAAGGAAACCTGGAGTTCTGTTCACATGTTAAAATGTGCAAAACCTCACTCTATCCAATAAGTTCAAATCACCCCTGTCTGATCATTTTCTAGAACTTCTTTGGGTGATTCCTTCAAGAACTGTTGCTTCCCCACCTGCTGGCTGTGGTGTGAGCAAGAAGCCAGCAAATGGGGAGATAGTTCAGAGGAGGCAGCAGAGGCTGACTAACAAGGCTAGAGTCATGCCCCATTTCCCAGGCTGCAGGTGTTGCCTCTCACCCTCCGTGTCTGTGAGTGGCTCCCAGGAAGCTTGCCTCAGGAACACTTGGTCTCAGGTGCAAGTCTTCCCGCCTTTCTTCCTTGGTTTATTTGAGGGGTGTTTGTGCCATTTCTGTTGTTGGCAGCCCAGGAGGTGGAGCAGGAAGAAATCCTGGTTTGCATCTGCCCCTACTGAAATTGCCATGGACCGTTTTCTGGGGCAGCTGTTTTGCTTAAAGTCAGCTTAAGCAAAGCAATAATCCTTCCTAAATTCTTGCTCCTCTAAGCGTGGCCCAAGAGGCAGCAGCACCAGCAACATTGTGTAGCCTGTTAGAAACGCAGACCCTCGAGCCACCACAGACCCGCTGACATCAGATCTGCTTTGAAAGATTGATTCACGTGCACGTTAATGTCTAAAAAGTGCTGGCCCCCTGTCCTGGCTGACTTTGGTCTTGCGCAGTGATCTTCCCAGTACATGCACCCTTTTCTCAAGCCTGCGCTGACGTGTGCAGCTACACTTCACCGTGGAGTAGGGACTGCCTCTGGGGTTTGTGTTTGTCCAGCACTTCCGAGCGACTATGCACACAAGCTTTCCCACGGGGCTGCTACTCCTGCTACTCTTAGGGCTCTTTTTAAAAAACAGTTGACTGTAGCTTGCCTCAGCCTATGAATTCCTTTTCTGAGTGAACACATCTTTGTTGTCTTGGGAATGTGTATTCCGGTGAGGGAGATCCACGGCGTCCTTGCGAAGCTTACTGCCCGAGTGGCGTGGCAACACCGTTTACACTGGGGGGGTCTGGGAGCAGATCCCACGGTAAGGGGAACAGGTGTTCTTGCCGAACGCTGGCAATTTTCAAATTTTTATTATTAGCAGATGAGCTAGAGAAATGTTATATGGAGCTCTGTTTTACAAAATAGCAAACAGAGTCTATGTCACATCAGCACTTATAAGTCATGTTGATATCACGAGCCCTGATGTGGTGGAGTGAGGAGGGCTCTTCACCTCTGTGGTGGCCTCCCCAAACCCACAGCCCATCTCAGCATGAGAAAACATCAGACCAACCCCCATGGAGGGACTTTCTATAAAATAGCTGCCCACTACTCTTCAAAAGTGTCAAGGTCATGAAAGAGACGGTAAGACGGAGAGCAAGGAGACGTGACGATTGAATGCAGTGCGGGATCCTGGACTGAATCCTGGGACAGAACAAAGGATGTTAGTGGGAAAACTGGTGCAATTTGAACAAAGTCTATAATTTTGTTAATAGTATCATGCCAATGTTAGATTCTTAGATTTGATAACAGTACCAGATTGTTCCAGATATTAACATCAGGGGCAGCTGGTGAGGGGTATCCCGGAATAACCTGTGCTATCTTTGCAACTTTTGTGTAAATCTAAAATTATTTCTAAATTAAAAGTTTTTTAAAAGAGCAAAAACAGAGCAGGACTGGCAGAAGTTAGGGGTAGGGTAGAGAGGAGAAAGAAGCCCAGAGCCTGTGCCTTGCCTGAGGGACACTCCCTCTTGCTTCCTTCATCTCCCCATTCTTCATCGCTTCTCAGCCACATTATATATTTTGAAAACCATTTTGCTCGACACTTTGTTATTAAATTTGGTTTTTGTAATACCCATGTGAAGTGGATTACCGATGAGGAAACTTCAGAGAAGTTAAGTGCACAGAGCTGGGAAATGAGTCAGGATTCAAACCCTAACTGTCTGGCTCCCAAGCCTGGCCGTGCCCATCCTTTGGAAAGACACACCTGTCCTGTGAACATCGTCTCTGCAGGTGGCTCTGCGGCCTGTGCCTCGCTTGCGCAGACCAGGGAGGGAGTCCTTCTCCAGCAAACTAGTCCCGTGTCCTGAGTCCTTGCCCCCTCCCTGATGTCTGGGTTCCAGGATCCAATCACCAATGTGCTGTTTTGACCTTTGCAGCCTTCAAGCTTTTCCAGGCATAGCTTGGGCTCCAATCAAGAGTGCAGCAGCAGCAAAGAAGGTGGAAATCAGAACAAAGTCAAGTCCATGGCAAACCAGCTGCTGGCCAAGTTCGAGGAGAATTCTCGGAACCCCTCGCTCCTGAAGCAGGTGAGTCCCGCCAAGTGCTCGCTGGATCTGCCTTCTTGGTGGTCAGAAGCTGCTGGGAAGTCAGCAGGAATGTTCGGGCTAGTGACGGATTTCAAGTGTGCCAGCCAGGCCTGGTGAAAATGGGACTCGAGCGTCTTCTCGAGATCAGGAGTCAGCAGAATTTTCTAGAGACACCAGATAGCAAATTCTTTTTGCTTTGGAGGCCATACCATTACACCATTACTGCTACAACTACATCGCTCTGCCATGGTAGCACGAAAGCAGCTATAGACAATACCTAAACAAATGAGCATGCCTGTGTTCCAATAAAACTTTATTTACGGAAACAGGTGGCAGGCCAGATTTGGTCCACGGGCCAGAGTTTGCTGGTGCCTGTTCTGCATTAAGGAAGTCCAGTCTCTAATTTAGTTTTACTTCCCCACCATGACTTGGTTCCCAGCCAATTCTGAGGTGGTACAGCCTGAGGGAGCTTCTGAGATGGTGCTATCTGGGAGAGTACAGGCTAAGCCCATGGTGAGAACCATCCAGACCAGAGGAAGTGAATCGGAACTGTGGGTCAGGCTGCAGGCTTCTTTCTGACTCCAGCTTGGAGGGCTGTGCCTCGTGGTTCATTCGGTTGCTCCGGGGGGAATCTCCTTTGGGATGCTCTTGTCATGTTACAGAAGCTCGGGAAAAGGTCTTTGCTTTTGCTATGGAGAGGACCTGTCACGTGACAGAATCAGGCTCCTTTCAGTAGGACAGATGCTCAGTCAATTGGCTTGGAGCGATCATAGACATCTCCTTGATCTTCACATAGACCACACCCCTCCTGGACTAACCGACCTTCCCCAGGAAGTGACGTGATTTTATTACAAGGGGGCCGTTTCCTTGAAACTTGTTGTTCTCCAAAATGTTCTCAACTGTCCCTTCTGGAGGCTTGGCCCCCACACCCCCAAGTGTTGGCGGGGGCTCTGTTCCATCAGGCGCGCAGGAGCATTCCTGGCCCAGGCTGGCCATGCTGGCCTGGCATGGGCTCCGGCACTGCCCGCCCAGGGCCCTGCGTCTGCCAAGAGCAAGGCCGCCCTGGGATTCACACATTGCCCGAGAGCAGGGGACTGTAGGACTTGCTGTTCACAAGGGCTCGAGTTTCCCAGCTGGGCCCGGCTAGCAGGAGCCCAGCCCCGTGCCCTCCCCGCGCTCGCACACTGCGTCTCCCGCTTCTCTTCTCTCCTGCCTCCAAGTGGCTCAGTCTGACTCACCTTTTCCTTCCTGTCTCCTGTGGCTGCTTTCTTGGACTCACCCTTCTCCTCCCAGGAGCGCCGTGTCTCAGGGATAGGTAAGCCTGTCCTGTGCTCTTCCTCTGACCCTCCTGCTCACTCTCGCTGCCCCAAGCCAGAGGCGCCCACACCCAGCCCGCCATGTGCTCTGAAAAGGCAGGTAGGGCTCCTTCCCCTGGACGCCGTTTTAGTGAAGCTAAGGGTGGACTGTGATCCAGAGGGGTGGGGTCCGTGGTGCTCCCCACACCCCAGATAGGGCTGGTTGTAGATTCCCTGGGCAAGCAGACGCAACTTGAGGTCACCACCCTTATAGGTAAGAATAACCACGTTGCAGCATCGTGAAACACATCTGGCCGGTCACTCAGCCAGCTAGGGGTGTGGAATGACCACCCACCATGCTCTTGATGCTGGGGAAAAACAAGCCAGACCACATAGGGTATTTTGTGTGATGCCCTGTGACACTAAGCTCTATTTCTACCAACTAATATATATATAGAAAAAATTAGCCGGGCATGATGGCGCATGCCTGTAGTCCCAGCTACTCAGGAGGCTGAAGCAGGAGGATCACTTGAGCCCAGGAGTTTGAGGTTGCTGTGAGCTAGGCTGACGCCACGGCACTCACTCTAGCCTGGGCAACAGAGTGAGACTCTATCTCAAAAAATAAATAAATAAATAAGCTTTATTTCTAGATCATTTGAATAGGCTGATTTCCAAATCAATGAAAATGTGGTGTTGGAAGGGGCTCAGGTGGCCACTTGGCTTGCCCATCGAAGGGGTGAGGCTGGGTGGTGGGGAAGGCCTTCCCAGCGCCAGAGCGGCTGAGGACCTGCACAGTGGGCAGAGAGGCAGCTGGCAGCCACGCACTGCGGCTCATTCCAGCTAGCATTTCTGGGTTGGGAACTTGACCAGAATCACTATTATGGACCACAAATGTCGAAGACATCTGGTCAGTGCTAGGAATGGTGTGTTGCTTCCGGGTGGTAGAGGTTGAGTAAGGTGAGTGTTTATGTAATTCAGTGATTTTGTGTCTCTGTGCATCCCCCGAGGAGCTTTTTTAAAAATATCAATGTCTCATGCCCAGTCCAGAACAATCAGATCAGAGTCTGGGAGGGTTGGGCCTAGACTTGGATCTATTTGAAAAGTGCCCTAGACGATTTCAGTGACAGCCAGGATTGAGAACAGGGTTGCAAGGTTTTAGTTCAGGGTCTTGCCTGTGTATTGTTGCAGGGGTGCCAGGTGATTATGCTGCAGGTACGGAAAGTCAAGACCTGAGGCTAGTTTGGAATCTCATGTAAGGGCACATCAGATGTGCCCTTTGTCTCTGGTCCTCACGGGGGATTCCTTACGGGGGATCCCTGAAAGGGCCAGCATCCGGAAGGAAGCTCAATTTTCCCTCTCTCCCAGTTACCCCCTGTGGTTGTGACGGGGCACGTGCTCAGAGAGCTCAAGCAAGTGTCTGCTGGTGGCGAGTGTCTGAGCAGGCCCTGGAGAGCCAGAGCCAAGTCTGACCTGCAGCTGGGCAAGCCGGAAAATCTCGCTGCCCTGGCTCCTCCCTGCCAGGGCCCACAGGCCCTTTCCGGAGTGCTGCGGCGGCTGCAGCAAGTGGAAGAAAAGATTCTGCAGGTGAAAGCTTCACTTTCTGCTCTGTCTCCGTGCCTGGGTGACTTCCTTTCCGCACCCCCCTCCTGCCTACTCCCTGTCTGCCATCCTGCTGTGCGTGGGGACCAGACAAGCCTCTGTCACTATCTTTCTCTTCTTTCTCCTTTCTCACCTTGACTGCAGAAGAGGGCTGAGAACTTGGCCAACAGGGAATTTCACAAAAAGAACATTAAAGAGAAGGCGGCTCACCTCGCTTCCATGTTTGGACAAGGGGATTTCCCGCAGGTAAACACGGGCTTTTAGATCCCCCAGGAACCTGGATGTTGGACACCCCGCCAGGGGACCATGAATCCGTCTCCAGAGCTGAATTTACTTCTTCCTCCTTTTATAGCACGAGGAGCTATTCATCTTTCAAGCCACTAAAGAATTTGAGCTGGCATCTAAAAGAGATCCAAATGAGAAGATTCAAATTAAGTAGATAGATCATCACAAAGGAAAAACCAAGGCAGGAAATTAAGCTCAGGTCAAAGGAAAACGCTACCAAAGAGAAACACATGCTGTTAGGCCCTAGATAGTTTCTGAGTAGGCTCTGAGCTTCCTACAGGGCAACACAAAGAGGGAACACTGGTCAGTTGCCAGAATCACAGTGCCTTTATGGCAAAAGCAAACCGGTTGATGTTTGGGGGTACAGGGGGGGGCTCTCCCTGTGCCTCTGGTCAGGGAAACACATGCCGTGGTTGACCTGGGCTCTGCCTCCCCAGAGGCAATGTCAAGCCATGAAGAATGGCTTTGCCTTAGAATAGGAAGTGCAGCCTCCTCCAAGCCAGTTACTGAATTGGAAATTTGCTGGAAAAAAAGAGCAGTGTGTTCACAGGGGGGATGAGAGGGTTGATCATGAGATCCCACAGGTGCTCATGTGAAGTCCGCCCTCTCTTGCAGCAAGCCTGTCTACAGACTTTACCTCCTCTGCTGCTTTCGCTCAGTCCCCTCCGGACCTGTGTCCTCTGCTGCTGGGTGCAGTCACGGACATGGCTTTCCACTCAGTTCACGTTTGGGGCTCCACATGGCCGCCAGGAGGCTGGCACATGTCTGCCATGGCTGCAGAGGCCCCTGCTGTGGCCATCTGCCGCAGAGCAGCCCCGGGTTCTCCTTTCCTAAGCTGGCAGCTGCTGCTTCATTCCAAGCTCCAGGGAGAGGGCTTCAGTAATTAGTGCTGCTGTCGGGGCGGATGCAGGCAGAACAGATTACATCTGTGTGAGCTATTTTGGTGTGACGAGGGAGCTGGAATAGTTGCACCAGCATGGAGCGTAACCAGGAGCCAGCTAATCCTGCTTGGCTCCAAAGACAGGGTTTCCGTGTCCCCCCCCCCCCCGCCCCGAGTGCATTGGCGTGGGACTGCAGCACTGAGGGGGCATCGCTCTGCGTGTCCCCAGGATAATCCTGGTTTCTTCTGTTTCTGTTCTGTGCAGAATAAACTACTCTCTAAAGGCCTGTCTCATACTCATCCTCCGTCTTCTCCCTCTTGCCTTCCGTCTCCTGATCCAGCTGCTACTTCTTCGCCGCCGACTGTTGACTCTGCTTCTCTTGCCAGAAAGGTAGTTGTCCTGAATAATTTGCTTCTCTGCTCCCTGCACGTTCTGAGATGTTCTCACCCTCTGCTTGACCTGCACAGTGAACATCTAGAGCCTGGCTTGGCCAGGATGAAAATTTACAAGACATTTCACAGCAGTGCTGGATACAGTTTTGTTTCCCTGTTAGAGCACACAACGTAGCAGAACAGGCAGTGCTCGTTCACTCAGCAAGCATTCATCGGGCGCCCACTATGTGCCAGCCACCGTGCCAGGCTCTGAGAAAGCAAAGAGGAGGGCAGTGCAGCTCCTTGACTACCATTGAGATGGGAAACAGCACATTGGCATAGAAAAAAGTAACATTTTTACTATACCAAATTGCCAATAAGTGGCTGTTTTTGACCTAACAAGGTGGCAATTTCACATGGTAAACCTAATGCCACACTGTTTGTTAATTCCATAAGAGGAAGAGAGGGCAAGACTGTAGGAACAGAAGGGAGAGAAGCCTGGGAGGGGTTTACAGAGGAGCAATCGTGGGAGCTGAGTGGTGAAGGCTACCTGGGGGGATGTTGCTGGAGAAGAGTGCAGGGAAGGGCGCTGTAGAGAGGGGCTCGCGTGTGCAAGGCGGGCAGGCCGGCCCTGGATAGCCTGGGAAGACATGTCTGATGTAATTTGAACTTGGGGATAAAAGTATTCGTGGGGGTGTGCAGAGGGAAAGTGAGCCCACTCTGTGTGTGTGAAGGAGTTTTGCTTTATCCTCTGTGCTATAGGAAGCCGCTGTGGGGTCCACTCTGTGTTCTAGAAGGATACCCAGGGTGTAGTGCAGAGCTTGGCTTGGAGGAAAAGGGGAGGCAGAGAGCTAACTTTGGTTAAGCACATAATGAAATGCAACCATGGGCACTGAAAAAATGTGGCTTCTGGGGCACTTTACTTGTTTTCCACTTGTCCTGCTGTCACCTCCTATGCTGAGAACAATAGCAGGCCGGGGTAGGAGAGGGCCAGTTTCCTGGGAAGCTTGACCCCTGGAATGAATGAGTCTGAAGAAGGACGTGAAGCCCACTTCTTCAGCTGTTGCACGTAGTAGGAGTGGCGTCTCGTTCCTACCCACACCGCGCTCCTCCGAACACATCCCGTCCATCTGGCTCCCACCGAGGCTCGGTGTGTGGTGCCGAATGTCCGCCTGCCAGAGGGACGGCTGGTTTGCTTCTGTGCGGTGAGGTCAGTGCACAAACCAGCTCCGTGCCATTGTATTAGTGAAAAACCAGAAGCGCCTCTTGGTGTGTAGCTGTGGGTCCCGCCCCCCTGGCCTCGCCTCTGTGGGGAGAAGGGTATAGGTAGGGCCCCCAAGAAAGCAAGGAATCTCACCAGCCCCACCCCTCCAAGTCCCCCTCTGTGTCTTGGGGGCACCCCCAGAAGGGCAGCGGGAGGTGGCAGGGAGGAACAAAACCACTTCCAATGTTCAGTGCCCCTGAAAATAGCCACAGTCCCCTATCAGGACACCAGCATCCTGTTCCAGGTCAGCCATGGGTCAGCTGCTCCGCCTGAAGTCTCCTGCCCTGCCTGGGCTTCCGTTCTTCTCCCCGATAAGGAAGTGGTCTCTGGCTTATGTTACAGTGAGCTATGTGGGTTAAGACGTTTTTGTCGTCATCACTGAGGTTCTAGGATAGCCTTTTTACCCAGCTCAGGAGAACAGGCTGGCCTGGGGGTACTTCCTGCTGTGGGAAAAGGTCATTGGCATCCTTAGGGCACCTGGGCACAGGACAGGCCGTGGCTCCTGCTCCTGGCTGGTCAGCTGGGCCCACACCTTGCTTTTCTCTGGCTCGGCCCCCTCCAGCTGCCTGGGCCCTTCAGGGTGGAGCCAGGCCAGGCCTTCTCTTGTCCCTGCCCTTTTTCCATCCTCAGGAAGGCCTGGCCTGGTCACTGCCTGCTCAGAGTTGAGGGCAGAGCTGGGGCAAGAAAAGCCACCACACTTCCCAAGGTCCCCGACTTGGTCTCCTTCTAAGCAAGGGCCGGAGGCAGCCTGCTGGGGACTTGCCTGACAGAGACACTTCTTGCCAGCAAGCATGTCCCAGTCACACCGTGATCACACCCCAGTGAGGCCCCTGGCTGCTTCTCCACTGGGTTCTTCAGGCAGCTTTAAACCAATGTCACTCATGAAGCCAATATTTATTGCACGACAACTCGGCGTTAGGCACTTCTGGCTCTCGGGATATGCATCGGTGAATAAGAGTTCAATTCCTGCCCTGTTGAGGCTTACATTCTAGCCAGGAAGTCAGCAGTCAACAGTAATGTGATACGGAAGTAAGTTATATGCTGTGTCAGAAGGCAACACAGTACTTCCTATGAAAACATTAGAGCCAGTGGCAGGGACCTGCAGCGCCAGGAAGGGCAGCAATTGTACGTGGAGTGATGGGGGCAGAGCCACAGGTGAGAAGCAGAGGCCTGGGGCCTGGCTCTCAGCCCAGCGTCCTCCCCTCCGTGCCGCAGAGGCCAGGGCTGCATGGAGGCCGTGTCCGTGTGGAGCCCCGTACCCGGGGCAGCAAGGGCTTCCAATGGGGCCGGCTTTGGGATGGCCAACCCCAGATCCTCTGGCCCCCACCTGGACGGTTTTGTTCCTGTGTCTCCCAGGTTGTGGTAGGACAATCACCCCCTCTTTTTTAATCCTATCCTCTAAGTCATCTTTGGCCATCACATGATGGTATAATTAGGCCATTTTAACAGCATCTAATGTATTAATTACAGGCTAATGTGCCTTTCACAGAATGGCTGGGAATGCTCAAGGAGCTCTTAGAAAGGGCCACCTCTGCACACTTGGACAAGCCACCTAACGTGTCTGTGCTTAGTGTCTCTAAGTACCTACATTTGCAGGCCCCCGCAGCTCTCGCTGTGAGTCCGCTGTAGGCAGTTAGGCATGAGTGGTGAGTTTCCAGTTTCAAGCCATCTTGGAAAGGATAGTGCCAGCCTCACCCCCGCCCCCACCCCAGCTTTCCTCCTTCCCCAAACCCCATCCCGCCATTGGTTCAACACTGGGCTTTGCACATGCAGAATCTGGCCGAACCACAGCCTCCCCTGAGGAGAGAACTGGCTGTTTCTCAAAGTAGGTGATGACAGTGACAAACAGCTTTATTCTGTTGGTGGAGCTCAGAGAGTCTCTCCCTGAGAGAGAGCCTGGGGCCCTAATGCTTCTTCCAGACTGACCACGGGCTTTTCTGTTTGCCCAGTGGCCCGAGTTTGCCTCAGTTTTCGGGAACCAGAGGAAGACAAGTGCGCTTGGAAACTGATGCTTAGTCCTTGGCAGTTTCCCGGCAGCCAGGGTGTCTCTGTTCTTGCCCTAGAGCCCCGCTTACCAGTTCTGAGGGTCCGGGAATAATCACCTCCTCATGGGAACAGCCTTAGCCAAACTTATTAAGGGAAGCACGTGTTACTCACAGGGACACAGGCTGAGTCACCGACTCCAAGACAGGTAACCAGGGCTCTGCGTTCAGACCACACTCGCCCGCCCTCTCAGACTGACATTCTCCTTTAAAGTTCAGAGTTTGGCCTAAACAGCCACAGAATCGTGGGCCACTCTTGCTTTGGAATCAGATCCTCGCCAGGGGCTGTCTTTTGAGGCTGTGGACAACAGGATCCATGGCCAGTCTTGTGTCCCCAGCACCATTTTTCTCATTGATCCCATCAAACCAGCCCTCCTCTGTGGTCTCGGGCCCTGTCAACCATTAGTTAGTTAATTCCTGTCTTCAGGAGGGGAGGCTGCTACAGCTTTGGCCTATGGCATGGCAGCTGGCCCTTTGCCGAGGATAGTGAGCTCTTTCAAGAACAAGATGGCAGCCGAATGTTTGCACAGTTGAGCAAGGGGACCCTCTGCCATGCTGGGAACTGCCCTTTAGTCTTCCTGGATCGGAAGAGCACTGGGCATTGCAAAAGGAGCTTTCTCTACCCTTGGGAGTGTTTGTTTTAAAACTGGATTTGCAGGCTTTACTCTAGAGATTTGCATGGTAGAGGGAAACAGGGAAATGCCGAGCATTTTTTGGGCAGCCAACCTGCTTTTGTTTTGTCTGGTTTGAGGATAAATATCAAAGATTGATCTCAAGGCTGCCTCCAACCTCACTGTCCCTCTCTGTCCCAGGGGTAGAGGTAGGCCACCTTTTGGAGGTCTCCTCCATGAATCCCAGCTTGGGAGGGTTTAATCTGCAGAGTGCTGGTGTATGTCAGGGAGGCAGGGAGAGGGATATGAGCTTAGAATCAAATTTGAGTTCAGAGCACCAGTTGCTTACTGTGTGACTTTGGACAAATTAGTGGACCTCTCTGAGCCTTCATTTCTTAACCTATAAAATGGAGATGGCAACAGCTACTCCTGAGGGTAACTGGAATACTGCAATGACTTAACTCATGCAAAATGCCTGAAGTATCCAGTAAATTGTCTCTTTCCCTGGTGGAAGAGAATTAGAGAAGACATCTCATTTCCCTAAAATGCATGTTGATTCTTCTCTTTCTAAAGGAAAAAAGTCACCTTCAGGTTCCCATTTCCATCCCAGCCACTTAAGAACAGTACAGTCTCAGGTGACTTAGAGCCCCCCTGAACTTCAGCAGCCTCACCGGCGAAGGGGGATTTTTAAGACCCACCTGCAGGGCGGTGAGGTTTACATGCCTGTGATCAGCACAGTGGCGCCAGGAGACAAAGGTGGGCAGATGTGGACACCCACTGGGAGGTCTCAGCTCTGAGTGTGTAATGTCCAGACCCCTCGAGCAAGGTGGTTTCAGTTCCTGCCCCCCTCCTTGTCCTGAGCACACAGCTGAGGAGTCAGGTCCAACAGGCCTTCTGCTGTGTTTTCTCATCCAGGGACTCCTCAGTGAGGATGGCCTTGCCCAAGTGGACCCAGGAGACTTCCTCTGGCCCTTTCTCTTCCCATGAGCCCTCGGCTCTGAGGCCCTGGACCCCTCACTGTCCCTTCTGCCTGACTCATGTGGCCTTGCAGGATGCTCATAGTAGGCCGTGTGGCCGTGGGTGGCCCAACTCTGTGAAGGAG